GGTTCAGATACTCCTGCCCGCCGGGCCCAACTACATAAAAAGGTTGGACTTTGATTAAGTCCAAAGAAGAAGGAAAAGAAAGCAAACAAAACACAAGACCGATAATATATGTATATAGAAATATATATTGTTAACAAGTTACAATACCTGGAAACAGTACAAAGGACGAAGTGTGTGTGAATATTCTGTATGTGCGTGCGTGTGTGAATATTCTGTATGTGCGTGCGTGTGTGTATATTGTGCTTAGCGTGTTTCCACGCTATCCCTTGTTAGCGCCTACATTTCGAGGTTGATAGCTGAAATCCTGAAGGAAAAAGAGATAGAGGCCAAGGGTCAGCGGCTATTTATAGCCAGGGAAGAGAGACCCCTGGTGAAAGGGTTAACGGAGTGAAGGAGGAGTTAACTCCGACAAACTAACCACACAGTAATTTTTTAAAATTAACAAATACTTTCAGTAATCTTATATTTTATTGATTTTGTTTTCTGTTTGTTTAGGTACTTTAGCTTTATAACCTTACGTTTGAAGATGATTTCTAAAAAAATAAAATTTAAAATACTGACAATAAAATAAATTTAAAATTTCATAACTGAAAGCGAGATAAAATTTCATAAGCGAGCTACCTAATTTTTACTTACGTCTCTTATGATATTTTATGATATTATTTTTATTTATTATTAATTTTTATAACTCAGTTATGAAAAACTTTCACAACTGAAATAATATAAAAATTAATAATTAAAAATAATACCATAAAATTTCAGAAATAATACCGAATAATTATAGGTACATCTCTCATTTTTATGAAATGTCATTTTTTTTAATGTTTAATTTTCCTTATTTTAACATTAATTATCTTGTTTCCGTCCCGAGAATTGAATCTAAAAAAGAAAATAACTTGTTGTGGATCTAAGAAGGTTGCGTGAATGTTTTAAATGTTTTGCTAAAAATGAAACATGCTACATCCACAAACATAAATTTAAATAAAAAAATCAAATGGTAACGATATCCAATTACGACAAAAGGGATATGTTTGGAACAACAAATATATTTTTTTTTATATACAGAATATTACAATTTTGTTTTTGTCAAGATGTGTTCGAAAGCTTGATCAGAGTATTTTTAAAGAGAAAAGTTCTTGTTGTTGGTTTGGAAATGTTTCGTATGCTTGTAATGTAGTTTGGAAAATTTCGTACGTACGTCCATGTGTGAATATGTTTTCAGCGTTCGACCGCGATGGGGTCGCAACGCAGTTTCCTTTAAGGTTACATTTTCGTAGGCGAATGAAATCAAGAAAGAGAGAGAGAACGAACTCGTGTCTGATATTTATAATTAATGTAATCACGTGACAGGCTCCTGGAAAAAGAGCGGGAAAACTTGACTTGATCACGCGCTGATATACGTGGGTGGATTGCAACGCCCACTTGTGTGTTTATTGACTAATTAGAAGTTGATATTTCCTGAAAATATGTATGAAGCTGGGTAAGCTCTTTGATCCATTCATTATAATTTTTTTTTTAAATTAAAATAATTATTGAAAGAAAATTTTTGAAAATGCGACACATGTTTGAGTACGAAAACTAACATTTTCTTATGTCAGTTTATTGCCGCCAGGAGAAACGATTCTTTAAACACGGTCACTTACGATCATCCATGTATTTGGAAATAAAAAGTTTTGTACAGACTCAAAAACAGTGTAAAATTCTTTTTTAAAATACCTGTGTGTCGCAGATTGTAATAAGCTTTCAAATTCATGATCTGTAAAGATAGATTTACTTAATGACAGCATTCCCTAAAGTGTGTCGGAGTTAACTCCTCCTTCAGTTCGTAACCCTTTCACCAGGGGTCTCTCTTTCGTGGCTATAAATAGCCAATGACCCTTCGCCTCGATCTCTTTTTTTCCTTTCAGGCCTGTGCACCAACACCTCGAGGTAAATTTCTCTTATTCCTAGAGGATTTCAACTATCAACCTCGAAATGTAGTCGCTAACAAGGAATAGCGTGGAAACACGCTAAGCACAATATACACACACGCACGCACACACAGAATATTCACACACGCACGCACATACAGAATATTCACACACACTTCGTCCTTTGTACTGTTTCCATGTATTGTAACTTGTTAATAATATATATTTGTATATACATATATTATCGGTCTTGTTTTGTTTGCTTTCTTTTCCTTCTTCTTTGGACTTAATCAAAGTCCAACCTTTTTATGTAGTTGGGCTCGGCGGGCAGGAGTATCTGAACCTTGCGTTTCTTCTACGTCTGACTTCTATCAACACAAGTGGCAACCGCCATTCCCACAACAAACCGTAACCGCCACGGCTCTCCGCAAGTGCACGGATTGAAACTCAATTTTAAAATATTTAACAACTTTATCACGTTTTGTATTTAAAATTGAAAAAAAAAGAAAACAATTCTTGTAATAATTCATTTTTCACCAGAAAAATATTTTGGCTTCAGACAATATTGTCCTTAACATATACTATTCATAAAAGCCATTAAAAGCTTTTCTAATTAAATAATGTCTTAGTTTTACTGGGTTTTACTTTTGTATGTTACAATTCAAAACTGAATTTTGGGTAACTGTGTGATTCGATTTTACAAAAAAAACCGATGATTCATATTCTTCAAAGTCTTCTGCTTGTAACTAATATGAGCAATAAAAGGCACGACGTTCGATTTCTCGAGTTTTCATAAAATTAAGGCAGTGGATAACAGGTGTAAAATGAAAATATTTTTACCATGACTTTCTAAAAAAAAACATGTTTAAAATAATTTCATTCATTTGTGAATTAAGTTCTGAAAGTTTCATTAACATTCGACAATTATTTGATTTTTACGAGAATTTCCAAATCAATGTGTTTTTCATCTGAAAAAAAAAGGCGCAAATACAATAATGGTAAACATTATAGACCGCTGATGTAAAAAAAAAAATTAACAAAATTTCGAACGTGTTAGAAAGGACGAAAAAATTTAATTAAAAAATACTTTGGTCTTTTCTTTTAATAATACTATAAACATTCTGACGATAACTTCGTTTTTTTTTTTTAGTTTGGGGCCTTTTTTCATGCTGTTTTTTCGGCGAATTAGTGGTGTATTTTGAAAGCACTGTTTTTTCCCGCGCCATCGATACGTGTTTTTTTTTTCGTTTTGTTTTGTTTTGTTTTTCTCGCGTGTTTCTGTTTTCCTGTATTTTTTCTGTATACAAAAAGAACCAATACTTACTTCAGTAATTAAAGGTAAGGTGTTCCTTTACGTTTTTATTATTTTAAAAACAAATTTTTATTTATCTTATTTTATTTTACGGCATAATTTGCTCCAATCGCCACCAAGAAAATTTTCAGAAATACGAAAATATTCGCATAAAAGAAATACGTATACTGTAATATTTTTTTTTAATTTACTCTTAGAATAAATGTTTTTCTTTTCACATTAACACAAAATTTACGCTATTATTATTGTTTAGGAAGCGCCTTAATGCCTTCAAATTTAATCATTATATTAAGTTTAATTATTAAACTTTAATAAAAGCGTATAAAAATTGGTTAAGGTTAAAGAAAATTTATTTATTTAAATTTTTAATTTAAAAATAAATAAAATTTTTAAACATGAAAATAAATAACAAATTCTTGGCTATTGCACTTCTGGTTTTTAGGTTTTATTTTTATCTTTTCGCGGGCTGCTTAGGACAGTGGTAGAATTACAATTACATAGTTTTTCCTTTGACCTCACAAGTTACCGTGCGTAAATAAAACGTTATTTTCATTGTTTTAAAGTAAAAGATAAACATTACCTTTTTAGAAGGTCAAGTCTTAAATTTACTATTACAGTAGAAACACACCCTGTGGACAAATAATGAATTTTAAAAATTTTTTTTTTTTTTTAAATAATGGTTGTTTAAATGTTTACTTTTGAAAAATGAGTTCGATGAGTTGATAAGTGACAAAAAACCGACAATACTTTTTAGTTTAAAATATTTAAAAATACCGAAAACGTTTTTTATTTATATACAGAAATTATTTGTTCTTTTAATTCGGATTAGCTTTTTAGGCCATGATTTTTCAACAAATAGAACTGAAATTTAATTTCAAAGACATTTTCTTTTTGCATTTTTAGAAAGTCCATAGCGATATTCAGCTAAAACCGAAATTTAAAAAAGGTATTTAAAATATTTAAAAATGTGTTTATCGTGCTATTTGTGGCGGTACTATTATTACAAACAACTATTCCAGTTAGTTAATTAATCCTTAAATTTACTTTGAGACGCATAGATGTCTAGGACAAATTGTGGCGAGGAATAAATTGCTCAGTTGCGAAAAAGGCACCGAATCACGTGCATATTAGGCTATTAGCCGACGGAAAAGAAAAAAAAAATGGTAAAAATATGACGCTGGTTTTGAAAAAAGTTTTCATCCGGGCGTTTATCGGCAGTTTGATCTTCCGGTTTTATTTAAAACGCGTGCTGTTAAGGTTGATGAATCGGCACGGTGTTAGCTACGTTCCCTGCGAATGTTTGTTCCGGGTACCAGTCATTTAATCGGTGAAAATAACACCTGTGCATTATTGTTCAGTGTAAGAAGGCAGGTTTGCACAAAACAGACTGATACAAAAGTTGAATACAAAGATGAATATTGCAGTTTTAAGAGATTTTAACATTTATTATATTAAATGTTACTTTTTTTAGTGTTTTTACTGTTTCTTTAAGATATCTAAAAAAAAAACTAGAAATTTGTTGTTAATAGTACACATTCGCTTTTTAGGCTATAAAAACAAAATTTAACTTCAAAGACATTTTAAATTATTTAAAATGCGTTTTGTTTTTTTTTTAAGGAAATTCGTGTGGTGATACCTACCTAGTAGCAAAGATTCAAATTCACTTTTTGTGTGGTTCGCAAACCAGGAATTGAAACACCCTAAGTCAAGTCAAGTGGAATATTCAGGTAAAACGTAAAAATTACTATTCTAGTAATTGAGATTTCGAAACTGACCGAATGAGTTCGAAGCTCAATAAGCGCTCCACTATTGAATCAATAATTGAACTGTTGCAATACGCGCTTCTTGTTAACCATCGATCACTACAGGCGCCCTTTGTGTTATAAAATTTACTCAGATGATTAAGTTGTAAAAAGCACCTCATGAGACTCGAAACTGCTGCCAATAGTTTGACTGATTTGATTATCAAGGTATAGTTTGGCGTTGTCAGTGTTTGGTTGAAGCAGCTGATAAGTCTAAGTGTAGCAAAGGATTGAACCCGCTGCACGTTTCTGCTTAATTTGGAAGAAAAGTATTACTGTGGGGCACCCAAAAACGTTAGGATTAGTTGCGGAGATCGTTAGTACGTTCACATTAACAATAGGCTGGGTAAGTCTTTAACGAATCCTAAAGTTAGTAACTAGCAGCGCGGTAAAAAAAAAACAAATTCGTTGTATTCCGGAAATAGTAATTAGTGAAAGCGGAAGTAATGGTCATTTAGTGAAACCCGACTGGAAGTGATAGCTGAAAAAGCACATGGCTTTTTTTGTCTTTTAACTTTCGATTTTCGGCTAAATCGGTGTTTCTGTAGCGGCAGTAGCTTTTATATCAACAACACTAGTTTGTCATTTTAACCTATTTGTCACGTGGCAGTTGGAAGCTTGTGAAAAAGAATTTTCAGAAAAAAAACTACTTTTAAAACAAGTAAGTACCACGTTGGCCGTTTCTTTGGGTTTTTTTTTTTACATTTTCTTCAGTAAATTACGCTGTTCTATTCTTTATTTAATTTTTAATTTAAAATAAATAAATCATCGTTTTTTTTATGTTTAATCAGTCGTTGAACTAATAATGTTTTCATTTCTCTCTTTGCTAACGTTTTTTCGTTTGACCTTGTATGTAGGATTGATTAATAATTTTTATTTTAAACCCCAATTTAAGAGCACAAAATCAAATGGTTAAGAAGTATAAGATTAGCTTCAACATTCGTGTGTGTGTATGCTAACAGAAAAAATAGTTGTAACAATTTTGTTCTCATTTTGTTGACAATAAAAAATAAAAAAGAAGGTTAATTTGCAGTATAGCACCAAAGGCCCCCGGTATTGAGAATGTACCGTTTTGGTGTGAAATTGCCTGATTATTTCGAAAATGAAAATATTGCGCTCTATTACCGTTTTTGATTTATCATTAGTGTGCATTTCTAAGCATTTAAATTTTATTTCCTCTAGTGACAAATATGGAGATGCTCATAAATGCATTAGTTACTTTATTTATTATATCAGTGATACAAGCATTCGTCCACCTCTGATATATTTGAAATTATGTTTAGTTTAAAAATCTATGACAGTTTTTTTCCGCAAACGAATCTGTAGCTCCTTCTCGATTTTAGTCTTTGTAACAATTTGGTAATTTAAAACGTAACGTGATGTTACTCGTCTCATTTTCTCTGAATTTTGAAAATGAAACAGTTACATTTACAATGTAAACAACTTTTTTAAAACAAATCTATCCTGTTCTATAGTAGATAAAATATTCTTATTAAAAAAATCACAATTTTCTCTTTCTGTAACCTTTTTTCTTACTAAATAAAAGTAGCATAGATGACTGAGTAGAATTCAATATTTTCTACGGCCTGCTCGGAGGAATAAGGGGTCTTTTAATGACTACTTTAGTTAGACTTTCAATGTTGAAATAAAAACAAACATTTTCTTCGTGATCAAATAATGTTCATCTTTCAGTGCCTAGAATAGGTTAACTTAGATGTAGGAATGTCCCTTTTAGATGCCTTTTAGTTTATGATCTCAAACTTGATAAAAACAAAGTTTTATCATCGAAATGTTTGTCATTGTTTAAAAAAAAACTAAGAAGAGGAATGACCAAGGTATTACTACTTGTTTTTGTTTTTTAATCCTTTCTCCAACTTACATTTTGGTTTAAAAATCTTGTTTTTTTTGGGGGGGGTTGTTGTTTTTTTGCCTCAGCTGGTGGACTTGGATCCTCCACGAAAATGTAAACAAAAGAGAATAGCACGATGAAAACGCCAAACTTGACGAAAACAAAATTTTATCGTCTAATGTTCATATTATTATTAAAGAGGAAAAATCAAAGTATTTTGGGGGTATTTTTTTACATTTTTTAATCGTTCCTAGCACGTCTGAAATTTTCGTTTAAAATATTGTTTTTTTTTGGTCAAAAAAAAAAACAGATAATCCATCATTTTCAATCATTTTTTCGATTTGATAAAAAGATTAAAATCTGACTTTGATATTCTTTTAAAAAATCAATTATCATTTTTTCAAAACTGATTTTAAAACAGAAATTATACTGTTTATTTAAAATATTTTGAACCAAGCTTAACTTAGCTTCTGCGCCGAAAAATGTAATTTGAAAATAAAACAAAGCAGGTCATAACCTTTCGCGTCTTTTGACGGGTGACGAAAGGCACATTCATGACGTTTAGATAACTTACGGGAGGATAATTCTTTCTACGGATGGAAGGAAGTGAAATTATTTAAGTGAACAAATTATTTACCTCGTTACTTTTAAGGAAAACTTTCAGCGCTCTAATTTTTTTTTTTTTTTTTTTTTTTTTTTTTGTACTTAGCTTTCATTTTTACGTTTTAAAAAATGCTTTATGGAAAATATAAAGAAATTAAAAAATAAGACTGTTAAGAGTGAGATTAAATTTCATAAGAAAAAGGTATCTAATTAATTTAGGTACCTTTCTTATGAAATTTTATCAAAAGTGTACATAAAATAAAATAATTTTATGTACATTTATTACATTTTACTGTGTTATTTGTATTTCCATTCATTTTATTATTAATTTTGATATTTCATTTATGGAAAAAATGTCATAACTGAGATTAAAAATGATGATTCTGTTGTAGGTCTTCCGTACTTGATAACTAAATTAACTTCTCCATACTGTTTTACAAGTAAAAGGCTTACATGAATTAATTACTTCTGCAAATCTGATTGGTCCAAATGAAAAAATTTTCAAAACACAAAATACATTTTAGACAATCTCTGATTGGTCCAAATGAAAGGTTGATGGTGCTTTTAACAAAAATTTAAAATATTTTTAAAATTCAATGAAAAATTTTTTAAAATTCTTTTTAAAATTAAAGAAATTTTAAGAAATAATTGTATTAAAAATTCAATTTTCATTGAAAAAATTTTTTGCTTTCAGAAAATATTGTCCATATTCATACGAACAAATAAAAACAAATAAAAGCATTTGAAATTAAATAGTATATTTGTTTTTATTGAGTTTTACTTTTGTATGTTACAATTCAGAGCTGTACGGGGGCAAAATTAAAAAAAAAAAAACATGATTTACATTCTTCAAAGCCTTGTGCTTTAACTATTGTAATCACTAAAAACCGATGGTACGAATTTCTAGAGTTTTTCATAAAATTAGTTATGGGGGTGTTAATAAATATAAAAAAAAATATTTCTGCCATGACTTTAATAAATAAAAAACAACATATTTATAATAATTTCGATCATCTGTGAACAGTTTCTGAAAGTTTGATTAACATCTGACAATTATTTTTATTTTTGCAAGATTTTCCAAATTAATGTGTGTAAATACAAAAATCGCGCTAAAAATTATCTGTTATTTACTACTCCATGTTGCAACAAAGAGAAACAAGGTTTTTTAAATCAAAATTTAGAATATTCTAAAAAGATGGAAAAATTTTTTAAAAAAATAAAAAAAAAATTTGGTTTATCCTCTTCATAAAAACAAAAGCATTTTGACGATAAAATTTTTTCATAAACTTTGGCATCTTTTTCATCAGACTATGCTCTATTTTTTTAAATGCCGTACAAGTTCCTAATACAAAGAATATTTAAAATTTTTAAAATTACCGAGTACTTAAAAATTATATATAAAAGGCGCTCACATATTCAATTATTTTTTTACAGCTAGCCTCCATAGAACATTAGTCATCTAGTTGTCAAATATGTCAACAGCTGACATAAACAGCTACTGCTGTGTTAATAAAATGCATTTCTGTGATATTTTAAACTTAAAGTAAATAATATTTGTTTTAAATCAGTTAATTTAAAAATAAAATTTCAAAAAAGTATATTTTATTTCTGGAAGATTTTTTAATAAAGTGAATTATATTGCAATGAAAGACAACTAAAAATGGGGCACTAATCAGTTATTTTTTTTAAAAAGTCCTTCCACTTCTAGTCAATTAAAGTTAATTTTGAAATATAATAAAGTATTTAAATATATAGGAAATATTATTATTTTTTTTAAATTCATTTTAAACCTTAGGTATCAGGTTTTCTATGGTGGTGCCTACCTTTTTCAGTCAGTTTTTAATTTTTGTTTAATTTAATTTCAATGTCTTTTGTGGGTTTTTTTTTTGTTTTTGTTTTTTTTTGTGCTTACAGTTTATTTAATTTTATGAAATCGCAAACAAACTCACAAACTTTTTTCCTAAATAAATTTCATATATGAATAAGTACAGAAACTTTCATAGAAATCAGATAATCTGCAGATTTTTTGGTGAGGGTTGGGCATCTTTGGCATGTTCCTTTGTCAAAGGGGTGCAAAGTTACTATTTTGCACTAAAATTTGAACATGCTCTAAAATATGTAAAATATCAATGTCTGTAGCTGAAAAATACTAAAAAAAATTTGTAGCAAAAATATGCTTTCAGTTAGGTACTTCCAAGCACGTTTAATGAAAAAGGAATATGTGACATGAAAAACAATCCCAAAAAACATTAAAAGTCAGTTCTAGTATCACATAAATAATCTTTTTTCATTAGTAATAAAAATTGATGAATAAAAACATTTATCTGCAATGTAGAAACCAAACCAAAGATAATTCTGTTTGAATATTGATTATACATTGTATAAAACAATGTATTACATGAAAAACACCAAAATTTTCAAAATCTACAAAAAAAATAAAATTTTGGTACTTACTGGACCAAAATTGTTAATGAAATGATTTCAATAAAGATTTTAACACAGAAAGTACCAAGATAATTTGCCTTTTTTTTTCTATTAAGAAATTTATTTATGAAAAAAGTGTTCAGAAAAATTTGTGACATAATTTTAAGCCAATCTTTGTTAATTTGGTTGTGATTTCATGAGATTATGTTACAGGTTGGTTCAGGCACTGAAAGATGACCATGAAAATGTTTGATTTAAATATTGAAAATGTTCATTAAAAGATACTGTATTCATTCCAATGACTTGGCAGTAGAAGATACTGAATTTAAATATTTGAACACTGGAAAGTCCTAGAGTGCTTGGATGTTACAATTTAGCATGTTTAAGAGGAGGAGTTGACAGTTTATAAAGTTTCTTCTCTTTACCTGAATTATTCATCTACTTAATTTTAATAGGATCCTCTATTAATTACAGACAAGTTTCTTAGTATCCTTATTAAAGGAAGAAAGAAAATTACCATGTTGGTGCATATTCATTTTATTCAAGAGTACTTTTGACATTAGCACAATCTTGTCATCAGTGTCTTGTTTTTTCTAAGATGAAAAATTATTATGTTATCATTTTTCTAAGACAAAATTATTGTGTTCGTCTGAAAATTAAATATTTTACGTGTGAAGGGAAAAATTCTAAGGTTATGTACTGTACAATTTTTAAATTTTATTATGTAGACACGTGTGCAAACGTCAAGGGAGGTAACTAAGTTATTGTCTAAATATTTTTAAAAAAGAAAAAACAATTTTAAACTATTAGTTAAAACCTACATATTTTAAACTATATACTGTAAACATTTTAAAACATTTGTGCAGTATTCATAATCAGTTTTATTAAGGTTTGGATTTAATTTCTTAATATAGATAGCTTCAATGATTTTTATGTTTATTATTTTCATGAAAAGTATAGATATATTTTCAACAATAATTTTCCTAAATTGTGAATGTGGACAGGCATGCTGTTGTAAATGTTGAGAGATGTTAGATGCATAATTCAAATGAAAGGACAACCTTCAAGATAACGTAGTAGTGGTATGGCCGACATATATATATTATTTTTTCTGTTGGAGATACAATATCCCAAGGGACATTTAAATTTATATACAATGTTGGTTTTCTGCAACACGTTAGTTGATGGGGAGGAATCATTATGAATGATTAAATTGGATATATTGAATTTAGTATAGTATATAATTAATTTTATTTTTTTACTAGGATTAGGGTTGGATATATTAGTATTTATTAGTCTTTTTTAGGGTATTTTCATCCTGTTTATAATTAGAATGTATTTGATTGCAATATAAAAAGATTAATATATTTAGGGTTAATCGAAGATGTATTATACAGTACTTTATTTGCTTCATATTAAAATTTCTAATAGAATGTCTTATTTGTTTGTCAACAATATAATTAGGGAAGTTATTACTGATAAGAGTTTGTTTTTTATATGTTTTAGTTCACTGTAAAAAATCTGTTTTGTGGGTGAATTAATTTTTGCACAGTTTATTATTTTTTTTTTATAATTGCTCTTTTATAGTAATTTAAACATTCACTCTTATAGTTAAGAGTGCACAAATTTATGCTAGTTTTTTTATATGGGGACAGTGAATTATATATATATATATATATATATATATATATATATATATATATATATATAATGTTGACCATACTACTACATTGTCTCAAAGATTGAGTTTTCATTTGAATGATGCATCTAACATCTCTAAACTTTTACAACAGCATGCCTGTCTACATTCACAATTTAGGAAAATTATTGTTGAAAATCTATACTTTTTCATGAAAATAATAAACATAAACTAAAAATTATTGATTGTATCTATATTAAAAAATTGAAACCAACCCTTAATAAAATTAATTATGAATACTGCACAAATGTTTTAAAAATTTTGCAGTCAATAGTTTAAAATATTAGGTTTTACCTAATAGTTTTTTTTTTATAAATATTTAGACATTACAATAACTTAGTTACCTCACTTGACGTTTACACACGTGTCTACATATTAGGTTGGTACAAAAATAATGTTGTTTTTTGATGTTCAACTTCAAAAGATCATAACTACTTTCATAATAAACTTTATTAATCGAAATAAGAACCATTAGAATCGACACATTCTTGCCAACGAGAAACAAGTTTAGTTATCCCATTAGCATAGAAATCCGGAGTTCTGGAAGCGATGAAGTCATTGAAGGACGATTCGACATCATCTCGGCTTTTGAAGCATTTTTCGCGAAGGAAGTTGTCAAGATGCTTGAAAAAGTGATAATCGGTGGGCGAGAAGTCCGGTGAATATGCCAGATGAGGCAGAGTCTCATAGCCCAATTCATTCAGCTTCTGCAGGGTCAATTGAGCAACATGCGGGCGAGCGTTGTCATGGAGGAGAATTGGTCCCTTCATATTGACCAATCTTGGGCACATACGTTGGAGCTTCTGGTGCATTTTTTCAATTTGTCGGCAGTACTTCTCGCCGTAATCATTTCGCCCAGATTCAAGAAGCTGTGATGGATGAGACCGCCGCAGACCACCAAACAGTCACCATAACCGTTTTTTTCGAATTCGGGAAGTGTTGTGGAGCTTCTCCGGCATCCAACCACTGTGCCGAACGTCGCCGGTTGTCGTAGAGGATCCACTTCTCATCACACGTCACAATCCGCTCGAGAAATGGGTCGTTTTTGTTGCGCAGAAGGACCGTGGAAGACACCTCAAAATGATGATTTTTTTTGATTATCGTTCAATTCATGCGGCACCCATTTATCCAACTTTTTTTTGACTTCCCTATTTGCTTTAAATGGCGAAACTGTTGAGTGGTCGACCTCGAGTTCAACAGCAAACTTCTCATGTGGTTTTTAAGGATCGGCTTCAATTAAGGCTTTCAAATGTTCGTTATCAACCGCAGTCGGCCAGCCACGACCGTCTTCATCTTCGAGGCTCTCGTCACCATTGAGAAATTTCTTGAACCACCGTTGTGCCACACATTCGTTAGTGGTTCCTGGGACAAACGCATCATTGATATCACGAGCTGTCTCGCAGCTTTTCGCCTAGTTTGAACTGGAACAAGAAAATCGTGCAGATTTGAATTTTGTCCATGCTGTCGAAAAGCCTGCAAAAAATTGAATGAAGAGATTGAGAACAGTAACGAATAACATGATTCGATATAGCGAAAAACACGCTTCAAAATGATATATAACATGGCTATATATATATATCAATGAATTAATTCAGAAATCATATATTAAAGTAACATGTGAGAAAACAACGTTATTTTTGCACCAACCTAATAATTTAAAAATTGTACAGTACATAACCTTAGCATTTTTCATTTCACACATAAAAATCTAATTTTCAGATGAACACAACAATGAACAGAATAATTTTTTGTTTTAGAATAAACAAGACACTGATGACAAGATTGTGCTAATGTCAAAAGTATTCAGAATAAAATGAATATGCATGAACATGGTAATTTTCTTTCTTCCTTTAATTAGTATACTAAGACATTTGTCTGTAATTAATAGAGGATCCTATTAAAAATAGGTAGACAAAACTTGTCTAAATTATTTAATGAGACCTGTCTTAATCAAAACTTGCTGCCAATATATATATATATATATATATATAATGAAAGATGATTACAAGAAAGGTTGCTGCCCAAATATACATTAAACATAATGTTTCATGTATGCAGCACTTTTAGTGTTACATACATATACTACATTCTGATCCTAGGCAGAATGCAAATCTATTCATAAGCAATTCCATCATCATTATCAAGAATTATAAATTTTTTTGTTTGAATATTTTCCTTATGAAAAGAGCCTAATCCCATTCATTGTACTGAGACAATCCAAAATGTCTACTGTCTTTTATTTTCCTATGCAGCTGCAATGTTATCCCTCTGCTTACTGTCACGATTCCGACCAGTTCTTGTTCGCAAATTCCAACATTTGCCATGTCATCAATTAACGCAATGTGTGCACCCACTCAGTACAAAAATGAAAGGACAGTTTTTGCCAATCACTAGACAAATTCCCACAGCTCCAAAAGATTGCCTCTTGGGATTAAATCCTTCTCCCACATGGTGTGTGTACCGTGGGTATGCTAAAAAGTTGAAAACAAAATCTAAGAAAGATAAAGGTAAGTTATCTCTTTCAAAACTTTTCATTTTATTGCATAACACATGAAAAAAACCTTCGCACAATTGTGAATTGACACTCAAAGATGTTCTTCATCTTTCCAATTGTGTCACAATATTTTATACCTGATGTTAGCACACTGGTTCAATTGTATGCATGACTGTTAGCTCTCTTTATTTGTCTTCTATCCTATGACAGTTCTACACATTGTTGCACAACATTTATTTGGCAATCTACTTCCAGTCTACATGCAGTGCTACATCTGGTTTTACCCAATTCTCCTTTCAGTACAGTTGTTCAAAATGATGCTGCCCTTGTTAATGTGAACTAACCAAGTTTTTAGTTTCTCATAATTTCATCAGTAACAGCAATACATATTAATACAATATAGTATCTGGACTGTACCAGAATAGTGCTGTTATATTCTCAAGGCCTTTTTATTTTAACTTGCATGGATTCAGAATGTAAAATGCTTTCAGACAAGATTTAAATTTGCATCCCAAAACTAAAATCACTTCCTATGTTACATGGCCAAATCAAAACCAATTTCTCCATCAAAAACCAAATTCAACATCTGCTTTTTTTGCAAGTCATTTCACCCCAAGCAAGGTGATAATACCACTAATGTGCAAGGGGTTACTGAGAGTGAAAGAAAAATCAATAAGAGAACAAAATTTAAGAAAGACAGAAAATGGTGATTGATATTGCATTTCAAATTTTAAAGAACATATGTGGCAGGGAAGCAAGAAGCTGGAAGAGATTTCCACAGGCAAGAAGTGTGAGAAAAGAACCTATTAGAATGGAACTTACGGTTCCATCTATTTCAAGAGTTATACACTGATTTGCCAATGCAGTCAAGGTACCAAGATGGAAAGATCATTAAAACTGTTAAAAACATTTATAGAAAAGACACAGGAAAGCCACATCACAGTGGTGGGAAAGTGACTGAAGCTGAAATGTCAAGACCAACAACATTACAAACCCTTCTTTATATTTTGTCAAGAATCTCAAGATATATAGCTGAAACACCAGATCAAATGTGACAGCAATATTAGAAATAGAAAACTTTTATGATGCTATACAGTGAACCAACTTTTCTAGCAGAAGACCTAGCAACTGATTCAATATAATTGTAGTGTTGTATGTAAATGAGATACTGCTATAAGAGCAGTACGCCACAGTGAATGCCAGTTGATCTACCATCTGTTGACCTGACAATGCCTATTCCAGAGAGTACTCTACTTCATAACAGTATGTCACTTATAGGATTCCTAACCATGTTAGATGAACTGCAGCATGTAGAAAAGTGGATTACATGTTTAGCAGCATTGGCTATGGTAAAGAAACAGATAGACAAGAAATCCTCCAGAGGAGAGAATGAAATTACTGATATATCTTTGGTGTGAAGCCATAAAGAAAATATCCATTAAGATGTACCCCAAAATACTGAAAGACTTTACACATGAGGTAATTTCAACCATTATAAAAAGAAACATACAATCCCCCCAGCAAAAAAAGGCTGGTTATTGCAGAAAGAACAAATTTCGATAGTGAAGAATTAGAAATGTCTGATAATTCGGAAGATAAAATACTATACTGGGTTGAAACATGGATGTGTTACCCCTAAATTGTCTCAGAATCGAAACCATACAAGATCCAGTGTTAAGTAGAATTTTAGGCAGAATAAAAAACACATGGAGCAATTGTTCAATGGCAGAAAGACCCCAACAAAGAATCAATACATAAGTTAACTGTAGATTAAGGCATAAGACACAATGGAGATATTATAACGTGGTATAACAGCAACATAAATGAGATTAAAATTACAAGTGTGTGGGCCAGGATATTCTCAAGATGTAGAAGACTATGTAAAAAGGTGCCCAAAAAGTGCTGAAATAATAATAAAAAAAAAAAGGAAAAACAAAATTCACTCATGGCCTAAAGAAAAGATCATGCCCATATTAAAGGCATAGAGCTATTTTTAATTTTAGTGGACTCATTTTCAGGATAGCCTGAAGTAATTAAGGTTGTTGACAGAAAAGCGATCACTGTAAAACAAATGATAAGAAAAATATTTTCAAGGAATGAGGTGCCTAAATCTTTGACCTCAGATAATGTGCCAGAATTTTGCAAGGACATTTTGTACTTGTGGCTAAAGTGTATTGGTTGCATTGTGTATAAAACACCACCTTACCACAAACAATCAAATGGAATCACAGAAAGAATGGTGCAGACTGTGAAAATGGGACTAGATGCATTTTTCACGTGTAATTATAATATAGAGGGTTACTTACCAAGATTACTGTTAAGCTATAGGACAATTCTATATGCTGGCAGACTACAAAGTCCTTCTGCATGAATAGGTAGACAGATTATAGCTCCCATGACAATGTCATTTTCAACAAGTGAAAGTGTGTGGTATAAGAAGACAAAGAATCTAATCCAGAGAAAGCAAACTTTTTAGTACAGAAAAGACAACACAGCAATAATAACGAAAAATGGACAAAATGTACTGGCCCATGTGAATCAATGCAGAATGGAACCCAAGGATACAGAAATGGACAAAGAATCTGAAGATGAAGAACATGAAGGGGACTAATGAATCCAGTAATGAAATTGAACAATTTATGGATGTTAATGACCAGAAATCTGATAAGGAGTCAGAAGAGGAAAATGAACTCTGACCTAGGTCCCCCATAAGAAGAATTCAAGACACACACCAAGAAAGTCAATTTAGATTCCCAAGAATAATTAGAAGAAATCAAAGATCAACAAAAGGCATAAGGCCATTTCAGTTCAGGGAGTGTAGTATGTAAATAGGGTACTACTATAAAAGCAGTATGCCACAGTGAATGCCAGTGGAGTTACCATCTGTTGACCTAATGTCGTCTATTCCAGAGAGTACTCTGCTTCATAACAATAATCATTCCACTTCATGTCAGGGGAAAATGTGAAACTGAGAAAGCACAATGAGTTTCTCTCCTGAAAATTAGTATTAGCCATGCTGATGGAAGGCAAAAATGGTTCTCTAAGATGGTTAAAAAACATCAGTTTTGTTTTGGAGTTATTAAAACTTACAAGCCATTTCTTGCCCCAGTTTTTCTCCAGGACATTTTTTTCTAACTACTTAATAGTTTTTTAAATTTATTTTCTAAAGAGTTTTACCAAATAACAGAAATCACATTTCTTGAAGACTTCTTACAGCTGCAACAACTAAAATGGATAGCATATATAGCTTAAATAAAAAAGTATTGACAAATCAAAATGTTGATTTTCCTCATTACCTTAAACAAAAAATTAGAATGGAAGTTCCCATCAGTACTAGAAAGGGCAATTATAGTTAAAAACCTATTTTCTGAAAACTGTTTTAAGAGAAAAATTTTATAAATTCAATCAACAGTAACAGGTCAAGATCTCGTCAATTTACATTTGTGCTGGCTAGATGTAACCATAAATTCTATGCTAACAGTTTCTTTTCTCATACTTCTCTCTTGTAAAACTTCCAGCTTCATGCTTTCCAACCAACTTTAATCTGCAAAAATTTTAATGCAATGTCAATCGCTATCTACTGTCCTCCTGATTACTCTCTTATCTTCCCACTCATTGTTTCTGTTCTTAATTCTTCCCTACCCTGTAACCCTTTGTGGCTTACTGGCTTCACTGCTTTGCATAGGGTAATAATGTTTAAAAAAAATATTTCATAAGAATTGCATTTAGAACAAATTAAAAAACGTTCTCAAGAAATAAACATCAAAATATTAAAAACACATGCACATATTTGTTTATTAATAAAAATTGTTTGTCTCGAGTAATTTTTAGATTTACTAAATTACGTATACCGATACATTGATTGATGTGTGACAAATGCAAAACCAACATTTGAAGAAATGGGTGAGTCAGAGCTTTATCACTGTTAAAGTAAGGCTGGGGGAGAACCAAAATGTGTCATTTCTCTCTCTCACTTAAAACCAAACAGAATTTTTTTTTTTTCTTTTTAAATAATTTTAAATTTCATCTTGTGTTTTTAGGTAAAACAAAAATTAGTCTGAATTTGGAGGAGGTTGAAGAAATAATCAGTATCACAGCCATGAAGAAGGAAATGGTAAACATCTTGGAGCAGCTGAAAACAGAATATATTAATCAGTTATCACTACGTATATCAACAAGTAAGTATTATTGGCTCTTATAATGATAACCATGCACTCACATACACACATATCTATCTGGGTCTATACATACATATATACACACACAGTACACTGAAAGGATTTCAGTTTGACTCCTTTTCTGAAAGCTGATTTTTTTTCATTCATGGATAAGTCAAGATTTTTTCAGTACACCATTAAATTAGGCATCCCAAAGTAAAATTTTATTTTCAATATATCTAAAAACATTTACTCCAGACATAGAGAACTTGACAAAACATAAAAATGATACTAAAATTATCTTGGCATCTCAATTAGCAACAAAGTTGTGGCCACTCAAAATTTGTCAGTTTTCCATCTCATGGTATTGGGCCAGAAGCCAATTTCAACAGTGTATAACTGAAGATGCAGGCTTCAGACTAGTTAAAAATCATTAGAGATATAATGTAATATAGGTATTCTTGAAATAAAAGAAATCTAATACTAATGGAACCAATAATTATTAGATCTGACCAACATAAACTTTGGGAAAAATAAAATTCTCAAAAGCGATATAGTTAAGACATGACACAGAAAGGCAGATTTGACTGTTCATATAAGTTTCATTTCAACAGTTAATGCCTTACAACTTCTAGCTATGATTTATAGCACAACAGAGATGGAGCTATTTTTTTCCAGTAGTACATCAATAAAAACTTGGACAATATAAAAAAAAAAAAAACAGAAGCACAATTTGACTGCACAATTTGCCATAAAAATGTATCTATTGTCGGTACAGATGAGGAATTCAATAAAACGGTTCTTTTCTCTGTAATACCTTTTCTTATACATGTATCTAATTTTAGAAAATCTTGTGAAATCATGCAATTTTTAACTTGTCAAAAAATGACTAGAAAACTTAAAAATTTGAACTGATGAAAAAGACTTTCTGGACAATTGGAATGGTCCTCATGCATTTCCTCTTCTAATGATGATTTGCAGTCTGAATTTGTTCATAAGCCTCTGCTATGGCTAATATTCCTGGAACACTCCATATCATATCATCTCTTGAAAGTGGTATTATATCAAAGTCCCATCTAAAGACAAATGTTGATACCACTTGTGAAATACCATCAAAAATAATAATTTCTGCCCTTTGTTGGAACAAAAAGAAAAGCACTGTATGGAGAGGTAATATCAATGACTTGGTCAATGTAAAAGTTGGAGTAATATTATACTACATACAACCCATTGGCCTTGGCATTTGTCACTGAAGGTCATTTAAGTTGTTCTTTTACAGAAATGCTAGAGTTGTTTGAATACTCAGATTCATTGAGTGTCTTTTCTTTCTTCCTTTGTTCCTTTAGAGGTGGAGATGCAGTTCCATTAAAATCACTGTAATGTCTATTCATTCATCAGTTTTTAACTTTATCAACATATATTGCAAGGAATTTAGGGTCTTCTTCAGCCTACCTCTTCCACATAGAAGAAAACTCTTTCTCAGTGCATTAATTTCGGTGGACGGACAGTTGCATCCCTGGATAATTGCATATCTCTGATAATTTTAAAAAAAATTTTTTTAAAGAGTTGTTTAATGTAGAAATTTGCACACCAATATCTTTAATTAGTCTATACCAGCAGAAAGGTAGTTACCATAAATAAAAAAAAAAAAAAGAGAAAAATTTCTTTTTTAAAGCAAGAGAAAATTAAGCTAGCAGTTTCAGTTCACTCCAGCAATGTGTACCACAAACATCTAATAGATTCTGGATTTTATGGATTATATTTTTATTTGAAACCCATGACTAAGTTCCAAAAATCATACACTGGTGGAAAAATATTTGTGGACAATTACAGCTACCACTATCATAAGAAAAATGTCAATGAAACAAAACCATACTGGTGATGTGTAGAGCAATCTTGCAACACTGTTAATCTGTTTTTTCATTTTAAAATTTATGGTAATTGCCTATAAAAGCTTAAAAAAATTATCAGATGACATGGAAAGCAGTTATACATAAAAAAATAAAAAATAAAAAGATACCCAATTAAAAAATAAAGATGTTATGCTTATCTTCTACAATGGCTTATGAAGGCTTTTAAAATGCATCATTGATATATATAATATATATATATATATATATATATATATATATATATATATATAAGATGAAACAAGTCTGTTTTAAAAAAATTAGGTTCAGCTGGCAATGTTCATTCACTTAGCAATACAAAATTCAATGCAGCAGGCCCAACTGTTTTGCACAAAATTAACTGTACTCTCTTTTTGAGTTGCATGTGCCTCAAATTGTATGGCAACAGAAATATGAAACCAACTTATTTATTACAAGACATTGCTCTACAAGGAGGTGTAATTTTAATTTTTTAAGAGTTGAATTTCTTTGGTATTTCATTCACTAAAATATTCAACTTAGAAATTTTTTATGAAATACAACTTTACAACTAATGGTTACCCACTCCCTCAATTGATGTGTCCTTTTTTTCTTTAAGATGGGAATATTTTGAGATGTGTAGAGGAACACAACTCTAAGCACAACAAATTTTAAAAAACACCATTATGAAATTGCCAACTTTAAGTCAATAGTGTATATACAACCAGTCTAAAAGTTTTGGATTAAGCACTTTCACCTATTTGTTTAGCCATCATCAAGATCCAAGAAAGATATTTATCAACAAAAACTGTAATTAAATTTTGTATTTATGCATTATGGTTGATTTCATTCATAAGACTATGCAAGACTACGGTCAGTGTGTATCAATCAATTTAATTAATTCAAAATTCCAATGTCTTTAGTGAAGATTTTATTCAGCTTTGGTTTATTTGTTTTAAGAATAACATTTTCATTAATCTGAAGGGTACAGTTTGAAATTCCCTGTAGGTTATCTGAATTGACAGATGCCTGAAGAAGGCTTGAAGGCACAATGGCCGAAACATTGATCGCAACAAGGGGGCATTAGTCCAACTGTAAATAATGTAAATACTTATAAAAGGAAATATCATTTAATCAGAATATTTTTTAGCCAATTTAAGTTATAGCTTGAAACTAGCATTGTACAATGATCAATTCCTGTTTTATATTCTGCTCAAAGTGGCCATGCCTACTAACTTGGTTTCAAAAAGAGAAACAGTTATTGTAATGAATAATAGGATCCAACTCAAAGGTTCCTTTCTCTTTTTTTTTTTTCTTTCTTTTTAACCTTTGGCTACTGTTCTTATTTTGAAGTTGCTTTTTTTTAAATATTTTTTATATTTCTGTTCAAAAAGGCCATTATCACCTTTCCAGGCATGTTCCAGACCATTCCAGTTGAAACAGCTGATGGCAAGTTCCCACTGAATCAGCTTGGTCAAGTGATTCAAAAAAATCCTTCTTTAATCATTATAAATCTTAGTATGTCACCTCAGGTCAGTCAGTATATTTTCTTTATACCAGGATTTGCTATTATTTCTTGTCTTCTCTGCAATAACTGTGCTATCCTCATCATTTTAGTCTGTGCACTCTCCAACTTTCTTTATGTCTGAATTATTATTATCTTACTAAAGAATTAATCTACACCCTACGTAATCTACAATATAATATATAATGATATTTTTTTATTAATAATCTTTTACTAATTTCTTCATTCACTAGCCATTAATGTAAATAGGAGAAAGCTTTCATTGTGTCATGTTATTGTTTAGACATCATTCATGAAGACAAGTTTTTAAAGTATTGTAATAAAATAGAGGTACTAATTAATGATAACATGAGATGTGACTCTTTCATATTTAACCTTACATTTTATTCAACTCCTGACTTCATCCATGACATGGATCTTACAGGGGTGGTTGTTTATATATCTATCTCTGTCATACAGCTCATTCCTACACTTGCAACTGTGAAGTTAAATGATTCTGTATTCAATGATTGGGAGGTAAGCTTAGGTCAACCCTGCACCCAGCTCTCTTGATGGCCTGGTGTGATATTGAGTGCAAATTCTATTCTAGCTTAAGTCTTTTTGAAAGCTACTTTATTCCAGTTTTTTCTACAAATTTAATAAAGGAATAGAGAGACTCAAGACATTGAGAAAATACTTAAAAAAATATTGAGAAAATACTTAAAAAATATGAAAAAACTAATTAAAACTAATAAATAATAAACTGATGAAAATGTGTGTCATAATGGAAAGACATCACCACAAAATCTCCAAATAACTCAATACTATTACAACAAATTTTTACTTTTGTTAGTGAACAAAAACTTGGAAAAGGAAAGACAGCACAAAAGATGTCACTAAGTTTTGAGTAATGTTTTAAAAAGAAGTTTTATATAAAATGGCCACTTATGAATAGCAAAATAAAATGGTAAATTTGGCAACAGGTACACATTGATTTTGATGCTTGATAAGGCAAAACACTGTGCCTATCTAAATCACTGTAAGAAAGCTGAGGTAATTAGGATATACTGTTTAGAGCCTTCTCTGTTATCTAACCATCATCATTTCATGCATTTTAAAGTGGACTAATACTTGTTCATATCTATATATCAATATCAGTCTGTCCATATTTGCCTGTGTCTGACTATTCTGTCCCCAGCCTGTTCATGACTACTGGTCTAGTCATCCCAGCTTTCTTGTATGTCTCAATTCATTCCTGTACATCTATTTATCTAAATTTGTTTATGCATGCCTTTGTCTCATTCAAATATAAAATTATTGCATGTGAAATAACTGATTATAAGTTGGAAAATAAATCTTTAAAACAAAATCATATCATCAAAATTTGCTCCATTTGGTTCAATGATATTTCTAAACAAGTTTGGAATTAAAAGATCCCATTTTTGTAAAAACTCTAATCTTTTGAAGGCTAGATAATCTTTGTAAGCTCAAATCAAATTCCTTATGATTAATAAATCATTTACCTCAGATGAAAAGCTTAAATTGAGATCTGGCAATATGTACAATCCAATTCTGTTGCATGATAGTAACAGCCATAAAGTTGAGACATATGAAGATTTATCACTTCCTCCATCTTAATCCCCTTCCACAATACCTATCATCCTTTCAAGCATTTTATATTTTTCAGTTGAAAGGTTCAACAATAAATTAGCTTTTGAAAACAAAGTTTACAAAAGAGCCTAAACTAAGTATTGTTTCCATATAACATATTTCTTTATTTAGAAAAATAAAGAGGTAATTTTCTGTAAGCTGTTTTGAAATCATAAGTAAATTTGTATAATGAGAATTTCCTCTATCAGTAATGATAGATACTGCTTCAATGTACACTGTTGTGTATTTCTGGTCAAGAATTTATCCTCAAAGGAAAGAACTTCTAAAAATATCAACAACAAAAAAAAGTAAAGCCTATAGAATCTTGGAATGGGTAAATGCAGATGTTCACAGCACCATGTTAAGAATATTTTAATGCCTTTGAAAGTTGTTTTTTTTTTTTTTTGTTGTTTTTTTTAATCTAATTTTAGTGCATCGTTTGCAATCTGAGGAAAGGGCTAAAAAGATGGCTTCCAGATATTCTTACAGAAATGAAGATCAGTCATCATTTGAATATTTGTCTTTTTTTTTTTCTTTTGCCAATGAAAAGTGGGTCACAAGAATCCAAAATGAAGAAAAGTGTGACTAAAATTAAGACCGCATTCAACATCTTAATTTAAATCCTTTTTTTGTGGGGGGTATATTTTTTTTATTACAAATTGCTGGAAACTGGATAAATTGTTATTGTGTAAAGTAATGAACTGGCTTGTTTGAATATTGAACTTTATCAGAAAAAGACCTTGAAGTTGACCAGTGATTTTTCTGCATTATAGCCTCCTTTGTCCTACTGTAAATGTGACAGGACAAATAATTGTGGAACTGAGATGAAAACCTTTTCCACATGCAGTGTATTCTAACGGCAGACCATCTTAATTTTTGGTGCAGTTCTCCCTGTCTGGTCAGCAGATCCAACAGCATCAAATTATTGAAAAATACTCAAAAAAATACTGTTATTATTAATAAGACTAATAATATTTATTTTGTATTAGTAGACCTTTTGACTGAATAGAAGCATGAGGCAAAAGATTTTAAAATAGTAATTTTTGGATACACATGTTCTTTGTCAGCAAGACAAGAAATAAACAATGAAGTGGGACTCTTTTCTAGGGAATTTATGGGTTTTTTTTTTTTCATTGTATTATCATAAGAAATTTGTTAGTTTTGGCCAAATAATTTGCCATGGTTAGGGTTGTGCAAGGTTTGTAGAAGACTTTCTGTAGAAACTGTATTCTCTGAGTAAGCCCAAATTCCTGTTTAATCCTAAAATCTATTTTAAAAATGTATTTCAACATGGACCTTCAGCATTTTTGTTGGCATTTAAATAAAAATGCTAAAAGCATGCATTTAATATTATCAATGCTATGGTCCAGTTTGTTGAAATGTGCAAACAAAACCTCTACAATCATAATTGTGACAAACAACTAGGCCAAAACTATCAAATTTCTTACGGTAATACAACACATGGGAAAAAAAAAATCCTCACCAACAACAATTTCCCTGGTAAAGAGTCCCACTTCATTGTTTATTTCTTGACTCAATAAAGCACACATATGTATCTGAAAATTCCAATTTCAAAATCTTTCTCATCATGCTTCCATTTAGTTAAAAGGCCTACTAATATAAAATTATTACTTTTATTAAAAATATTGTTGTTTTTATCTCTCGAATTTCATTAACTGGCTTATTAAATCTACACACACACACACACACACATACATACACATATATATGACAAAAGGAAAACTTTTCTTTACCAACAGATTTCTGATCGTTATATACAAATGTTCCTGTAAAGAAATGCCTAAATTTTCCAAAAATATTTAATGAAAACAAAAATAAAATTACCTCTTCCCACACATAAGATCATGAGACACATTAGCAAAAAAAAAGTTTTCCTTCTGTTTTTTTTATTTATATTGTCTTTACTGATATATTTTATTTATATCTGAATTTTTACACACACACACACACACACACACAATAGATAATTATTGATTAAATATGTACAAAGTTCTACTAAAATCCAATTATTAGTTGAATTTCTATAAATACTTAAAATGAGAACATCAAACATTAAAACTTTCACTGGTGATTTTTTGTTAATTTTCTTTTTAGAATTGTAATCAACTTTTCAAACACACATCAAATTGTCTAAGGCAATGGGTTGTGAGTTCAAGTCCTGCTAAGAGTTTGTCCATTTTCAATCCACACAATTTACTGATGAATGATGGTTTGAAAAGTTTTAGTGAAAAGCAATTAAAATGAAAGCAATATTAGCCTCAAATTAATAATAGTTGACAAAGATCTCTATCTTTTTTTTTTTTTTTTAGGTGCACAAATCATTTTTATATGAGAATTTTTCCAATTCTTCTGTAATTGTACAAAAAATTATAGCAGTTAAATTTTGCTGTACATGTTTTTTTTTTTGTAATTCATTTGACTAATTTTTAAATAAATTATTTCTATTATACAATGTTCAGGAGCCAGTTTTTCATTTCCAAATTAGAAATGAAATATGTTTCCTGAACATTGCACAAAGAATATGTTTAAGAAGATAATCATATCTCTTGTTTCTTTCCAGTATCTAACAGCAGTTAAAGAAGCAATTATCAATTCTGGTATTGGAATAAATCCTCAAATTGATAGCACCTCCATTTTCCTGCCTATTCCAAAGTAAGTTTATAACAATGAAGCAAAGTATTATAGATATATTGAATGTATATTTTTAAATACATTATAAAAACTTTAGTTCATTTTGTGCTGATTATGAAATTATGATCAAATGTTGCATGGCTCTTACATTTTACCAAGTCTGGTAAATTGTTACATTTAATCTGTAAAGTCCTGTAAAGGACCCAGATTGTATTTTCTCCATAAGTAAATATTGAATACGTGTTATCTAAACATTTCTCTTAGCTGGTGTAGAAGTTCATCAAGCCAATTCTAACATCTTCATCGTTTTTATCAAATTTCTTCCACTCTTGCTCAGCTAGAAGCCATAATCAGTAACCATTTAAACCTTTTATATCTTATGCTCAAAAACAATTGTTTTGCAAACAAAGCTATATTATTTACATTATTCACCATATTTATTACAATGTTTCGGCCGTTGTGCGCTCCAGCCTTCTTCAGGTGGTTGGAATGTCAAACTTAACTCTTTATTTCGCTCACTGCGGTAGACTGTTCTAGTTCCACATGCCATGTTTAATGGGTGTCAGTTATCAGTTATCTCCTGTTAATTTCCCTCTGAAAGTTCTCCACTGCCTTAACCAATAAGGTGTTGGTTAGATCCAGTGACAGGACCCAAAGAGTGTGAGTTCAATACCCAGTTAAGGCAGTGGAGAACTTTCAAAGGGAAATTAACAGGAGATAACTGATTTAACTGACATCCATTAAACATGGCACGTGGAACTAGAACAGTCTACCCCAGTGAGCGAAATAAAGGGTTAAGTTCGACATTCCAACCACCTGAAGAAGGCCAGAGCGTACAACAGCCAAAACGTAATAAATATGGCAACAAAGATGAGGACAATAGTCCGAATAATGTAAATGAATGATTCATTGAACAATAACAATATATTGACTCGGACATAAAGATTTTTTGTTTCTCATCACTTTAGCAGAGTAAGAAAGAGATAATTGTTTTGCTAACAGGAGTATCAAGGTGACAGTGATTAACTTAAATTACTTCATATATTTTGCATATGTAGTACAGAACAATACCAAAAAAATAGTAGTAGGAAGAATGTATTGTTCCACTTTTCAAAGTGGTGAGGGATTGCTCTTAAAATCAACATTCAGAATTATATTTGACCTCAAATATCCACCACTAGTGGAAAATATGCAACAATTTAAACTGTAATATTTAGCTTTGTAGCTAAGTTTTGCCTATTTTCATAAGTTTAGTCTCTGAACTTAACAATGTAGGACAACTGGTTTGGTTAAAAAATGATGCCACACCAGGAAGAGAAAAATGATATACAAATCCAGAATGATGTTAGACATAAAAGAAACAAGAGATTACCATAATATATCCTTTGTCACCATGTTGAAATAGTGCTTATTCAAAATTCCTTACAGATCACTTATAGTTACCTAAAGATGAGGAGTATGCTGGCTAAAATTGAGAATTATGGTCTTCAAACAAATCATTGAATAGTAAATGACATCATTGTTAATCTATAAATTAAATGAGATTGCATGGTAATTTATTTTTTCAGGGTTACAAAGGAACAACGAGAAAAATTGTACAAATCAGCCAAAACTTTGTGTGACAAAAGCAAGCAACATATGCGTGATGTGAACAATAAATATACAAAGAAACTGAGAGCCATTAAACAAGACCATTCAGAAGATTTGATCCACTCAATACAAGAATTGGTAAATTGATTCTTTCAAGCTTTTGTCTCTCTCATATATTGTGTAGTGAAACTAGACCTCAATTTGAGTATTATTATTATTCTTTATTAGGATAATTTTTTACTTAAAATATAACCAAATACTACATCCTTTTTTGATCAGGCTGAGAACTTTTCTACATTCCTTTTTTATTTAGAGGGCAAATACATTGTGTTATACATTATTCAAGGTAGATATTTAGTTAAATCTTTTCAAAATATTTTCTTAAAAATTAAGAAATTTCAAAACAGTAGAAAAATTTTAACAAAAATGTACAAAATTTCCATTCAAGTCTTTATACAAGATAAAAAAAAAAGTCAAGGAAGAATCTTAGTTGCATTTATGATCTGTTATTTATGCTTGATATAGTGTCTATGGCATGTGGACTAGACACTCGACCTGTATTATATATACTGAGGTTTAATGGTATGAAAATCTTAGCAACTACTTAAGTGTAACTGATAAGACACTTCATGGGAAATTTATCTTGAATTTTCTTACTCTGGCAGTAAATTATGTTGTGATTGAAGACAATTTAACCAATGATTGTGCTGGAGCAGCTGACAAGATATTACAATCTGACATGACAAAAAAAATAATCAACCTCTTTGTAATACTATTAAATTTGTTAAAATTCTTTGCATGAAAAAAGTAGGGGTTGAGTAATTTATTTTTTATAAAATATATATATAATATGCTTTTATTTTCTTAACTTAATACCAAATTAAATGGAGTTTGTAATATTTCTGGCTTACTGGGCCTGTCAAGTGTACATTTTGAGATATGTACTTATTGGCATCAGCCTGAAAGTTGGCATCCAACTGTCTCAAGAGGCTCTATTCCTAATTTGAATTCAGGGTTGTCTTTTTAAATTGTTTGCCCACTCTATTATTTTACTCTTAACTAGATGGAGAAAAGAACAAAAAAAAAATGTATGAATTCATTTTCATCATATGTTTAGATTTTATTACAATTCTAATCATCACTTTTTAAAACCATGAACGTTATCGAAGGGTAAAGTAATTAAAATAAAAGCCGTGTCATAGGAAAAACCATTCTTTTGACATTCCATTTTTTTTTTTTTTTTTGGTTTATTATATACATTAATATTAATAATAATATATTTAGCAATATATATATATATAGTTTATGCAAATTTAGGTAATCCGTATGGGTAGACCTGAGGAGGATGATATCCAGAGAGCTCAATGTAAAATTCAGAGCAGATATGTTTGAATAAAAGACAGACCACGTTAAGATTCCATGTAATAAGCTATTTCACCATAACCCCTTTACTTCCAAAAGCTGAAAAAAAAAAAAATTTTTTTTTTTTTTTTCAGCTTTTGGAAGTAAAGTCTGATGATCCAGAACCCTGTTAAAGGGGTTATGGTGAAATAGCTTATTACATGGAATCTTAACGTGGTCTGTCTTTTATTCAAATATATATATATATATATATATATATATATATATATATATATATATTTCAAGCATGCACAAAGGCCCATGCTTGGTAAAATTTATATATTTTTATAATTAAGTCTTTATTTTTTTCAATTTCCATTTAATTAGGTTTTCAAATTTGATTTCTTTCTTTATTTAATGGTATATGGGACACCTCAACCTTAAATATGCTCTCACATATCTACAAGAGAATATTCGCGAAACATTTGTCATTTGCAATATTAAAGGAATATGTTATAAGAAAGTATGAGCATAATTTCAAAATGGATTAAACTAACAAATTGATATGTGACATGAGCTTACTAACCATCAAATTAAAGTAGCAATAAATCAGCTCTTCCACCCATATGCCATCAAATATATGTAGTACACAACCTAGATATATGTGTACAGGAACTGTATATATACACTACATGTTTACAGTTAGCATTTTATTTCTTTTCAAATTATATTCTCTTTCAGTTATTATCAATAATGCATGAAAACGTGGCTCTGGCTGAGGAGATGATGACCAGAAAGCAGCAAGATCTCATGGGAGTTAAATGAGGAGTATTAGTTTTTAAGGATCTGACAAATAGAGAATGTGACAAGACAGTGGTATCATATATTTGTCTAATAAAAAAAAAAATAAGTGATGAGTACATAGTTACTTCCCTTGCTCAGTTTATGGAAGCAGGTATTCTCAGGTGCCAAATAAAAGATGGAGGTGAAAAAAAAAAATCAGAAAATAAACGGGAAGTGGATAAAAAAGAATGAGGAAATCTAATAAGTGAATTGAAAACAATCTATTTCATCAAAAGAAAATTTGCAGTGCATTGAGTAGGATGAGTGAACAGTCAACAACTTAATGTAGGGGTGGGGGGTAAAAAATTGCCTATTTCTTGCCACTACCTGAGTTCTGTGTTCAAGCTCAAGTAAAAAACCAGAATTTTGAATGCTGATTTACAAGACACAGGTTCTTTCTACTTAAAAAAATTTAGTTGACATATTTTTTTTTCTCATTTGGTCTTGTATCAATATCCACTAGGCTTAATTAATAAATAATTCCGCCATTTGATGTCCCACAGAACATTCAAGTGGTGGAATTAAGGAATAAATTGCACATTATAATTGAAGTATATATTTTCTACTAGCAGTAGAGCCCAGCATTGCCCGGGGATGTAACAGTAAGAGATAGATCAAGTATTGACCATCATAAAGACTGAAAAATAAAATTGACAAAGATTATTGTTTAAGGTTGACGGACACGCATGTCTTAATTAGTTTTATCTTTTTTTTACGAATTGGTCAAACCCAAACTCTAACAAAAACATTGTTTTCCTTGTAAATGGAATTTTTAAAGCATTCTGAATATAAAAATAAAGAAAAAAGTGTACAAGACAATAAGAAACACTACCTGCCAAAAAAAAAGTGAAGTTTTGTTGAAATCAGTTGAAAAATGTAGGAAATCTGATCCCATATATAAACGTACAGACACACACACAATCTGCGTTTTATAATAAGTAAGATCAATGCTAGAGGTTAGTGTTCAAAGTAATTTTTTTTACTCTCATTTTCATCCATTTGGCCTTGTGCTTTACTGTGGAATGTGATGTGATGTAATTGCATATTTCCCACCAGTCTAAGTGAAGTTTGCTAAATATCAGAACAGTAATTTTTCTGCTTCCCATAGACAGTTTTTTTTTTTTTTTTTTAATGAAATTCAAAATTCATTCAAGACTGATTGATGTGATATACACCTGAGAAAAGCTGGTGAATGCACCAGCTAAAATCTAATTAAAAAACAACAAAAGGTAAGGATGTATGTCTAGAAAACTCATTAATAAATAGAAAAGAATTTTGGTTATGGTATAACCAAATTTATTGATAAAAATATTCATACATTATCAGATAAGTACAATCAGGAAAAAATATACTTTTCGAATAAATGATGCTTTTTGTTGCTGAGAATTAATATTACAGCAAATAATATTTCCAGTCAACTAAATATGTGTATCATAAACTGAGAGAAAAGGCAATTGTTTGGTTGGCTGCAACCTGAAAAGAAATAAAGATATTTAAAAGACGAATTAAAATCTGTAAAAATACCTTCTCTAATTTTAAGAACCCATTATCATTCCTGCTATCATTTTGGTCAACCTGTTTTACAACATTCAGGTGTACAATCTATAAGGAAAGACCTGATTCAGTTGAAATAGAAAAGAAATTGTGAATAATGTGCCAAACAGCTCAACTTATTTATGGATATGCCAAACCATGGTAACAGATAAAAGAATGTGTTCATTAGTTTGAACAAACCCTGGATTACATGTATTTAAAAAGAAAAAACAAATTTTCAGCAGAAGTTTTTCTGATTCTTCTTCAGCTGTTTCACATGATTAACTTTATTTTATTGATATTTTTTTAAATATATTTTAGATTTCAACTATTAAATAGTAATACACTGATTTTTACATTATCAATTGATACGTTTTTCATGAGTAAATTTTATTAATTTTAAACCATTTCAGCTTAAAAAAAACAAACAATTCTTGCAGTGTTGTATTGACACTCCCGTGACACCTTTCCCCTATTCTATTTCCTAAAATAGTATATGTACATTGAAAATATTGTAATTCCTTCATCCACAACTGCTTACTATCTTGTTAAAGCGAGCAATTGCTCGCATTCTTGGTTTTCTATTGGTGCTAATTCTGTCATTTTGTAAACTGATTGTGTAGTTGCCATAGTTAAATCCAATACTCTCATTCATCTTTCAATGCTACCCAAGTTCAGGCCACATTTATAAAATGCATTTGTGAAGAAGCTGCTTCATATTTTCCACTAGTACAGCAACAAATATACATATACACATTCAGCTGGGCCCAGCTACCACACTCTGAATAGTTCATAAGCTATAAACAAATCAATCACAAATGCTATGTACAATGTTTCTTGTATTATTATTATTATGTCTTTCTTCTCACATAACTCTTGGCATATAGATGGATATAGATTACATAACATTTCAACCCTTTTCCATTCATTCAACCACATTTTACATTACAGACATTAAACACTGTACCAGTTTTTAAGATGTCTTTTTAAAGTTGCTAAAATAGCTTAGAGCAAAGTTGGTTGCCAAAAATATTGAACAAAGAGGCACACACATGTACAACAATGATACAGTACAGTCACAATTTTCACTGATTCAAGCCACACAAAACACTTCCATGTCGTTTTTCTCCTGTTATAGTGATTTTCCAAGCATAGCTTAGATGTGGCACAAGGCCAAAAGTAGGGGGCACCCAGTGAGGATTGAACTCACTACTCAGTCGTAATTGTTCTAGCAAGACAAGCTCACTAACCATTACACTGCCTCGAGATGCCCCTCCTGTTTATATATATATATATATATATATATATATATATATAAATCTCAAGCAATTCTTTTGAAATGCTTTATTGTGATTACCACTAAGTGGCAAAATCTTCATTCTTATTAGCATGTGATATGCTGTTGTTATTAACACTGAATCCTCTCAAAAGGAGGGTATCAGCTGAAATGTTAAAAATAACAAAAATGAAGACAATGGAAATCAGCACAAGAAATATGGACACAATGTTACTCACCAATTGTCTATACTGTAGATGCAGTCATGCTGGTCATAAAGATGAAAGGTGTATACATGACGAGACTTTGAAGACGTATTCTTTTCACTTTTATGTACAACCAGACCATCAATCAGCACCAAGGTACCTTCAGTAGATAAAACAGAAAACATGAGAATTCATTGCAAACAAAAGTAACTTCATTTTAATTGTGTGGCTCACCATGAAGCAATAATTTAGAAACTATTCTTATAGACCATAATGAGTTCAATCTTTACTCAGTCTGGAACAAGCAAAAAAGCACTAAGATAAGGTGGTTAGTAAATACCAATGACCAAATGTGTTTTAATTAATGTGTAATATCACAAATAGAATTTTTTCATTCACTGTAATCTGTTTGTGTTGACATCTTGCGTGATGATGATATAGTACAGGCCTGGGTAGGGGCTATGGGAATCTTGGCCTTCCTATATGTCGAGATTATCCTCTTGGCATTGCTGGTAGATTCCAAAGGAAAGGGTAAACCAATGCAGTTTAGTGCAGCTGCAGAAGGTGATGCAATGCAACATCCAACTACTTTGGGGGCTCCACTCTGAAATTGTATAGAGGCTTACTCTTTAGCTTTTCTTCCAAAGATAGACACAAGAGTTTGGGGTTTGAATTTAGAGTTTTCCTTCTCCTAGACTTGCTGCTACCTAAGGCAAGAGAGCCCATAACTGAAGGAAGATGGATTCGTGCTTTTTTGCAAGAAAAAAACTGATGCTTCCTTTAGATATAAAAAGAAATAATCTGATTGCTTTGTGTCTTAGCCTATGAAATGAATTTTCTAATAAGTAAATTTTGACAATAGGGGAGAAAACAAAATAATAACTGTATTATAATTCTGACTACATTTGAGCCTGAGAGACAAAGGTTCTTTATTTCTTTTTGCTGTTCACTGGCAATGGCTACCTAGTCACCTTTCTGTCAACTTCCCTCTAATCATTTGTTGTAAAAAATAAAAATTCTCAGGAGATAAAAAAATTAATTATTAAGCATCAAACTTTGCATTTCTGGTGCTTTAATTGCATGTTACATATTGAAAATCAGAAAAAAAATGTACATTGCTAATGATTTCACTTTATAACTATATATAAAGTAATCTCCATGTTACCCTGGGGAATATGTTCCAGTCCACCCACTCGGAGCCCGAAACCATGGATTATTTCATTTGGGATTTATAGAGCAAAAAAATGAAGAGGAAAAGTTACCTTTCTTGACAATAATTGGTTGGAATTTGCTCATGTCATAAGTTACCCCATCATTGGTGAATTTTGTTTCGCTGGGGTTACTTTTATTGATCACCATTCTGCGTTCATTGTGCAGCCCACCTGGTTGCAAAAGAAATTTAAAGGCCTTAAATTTTCAAGACTGAAAACTGATTTTATCTAAATATGTTAGATTGAAATCTAAACATTAGGAGGGATTAAAATGCATAGCTCCATGCTTGAAGATATCTACCATTTAACTTATGAATTTAAGATGGTTATTTTTGTATAAAAGGTTGAAAGGCTGTTTTGGGTTTCATAATCTTCTGTATTTTTTTTAACGGCATGATTGCTTTTTTATTAATTTATGAATTTAAGATTGTGACTCTTCTGTATTTTTGGGGATTTTTTTGATTGTTGTATTTTAATATTTACATTCATACATGCATATATATGTCTATAAACATTTTTTTACACATACATATACACTATTTGAAAGGGTTATATTTTATTGAGGATCTTTATTTCCTTGAGAAAATTGTATATTTTTTCTGTGTCTGTATTTTTGAAAATTTCTTTTAAACCTTTTTTGAAAGGGTTATATTTTTGAGATATTTTGTCTTATTTTAGTTATGATTTTTTTTGCATTCCAATAGAATATGTTTTATTGTGATTAGGCTTCCACATCTACATTTTGGTGGATTTGTCTTTTTAATATATAAGAATGGGTTAAATATGTGTGTCCTATATGTGTTCTGGTTATGACGACTTGTTTTTTCCGAGTATTTCCAAGATTATTTCCCCATTTTCCTATTTTAGGTTTAATTTGAAATAGTTTATTTCTGGTTTGGTTTTTCCATGAATTTTGCCATTTGTTTGTTATGTATTTATTTATTTTAGATTTTAAGCCTGTATATGGAATTTGAAGATTTTCATCAATTGTCATTTTTAAAGATGATTTAGCAGCAGTATCTGCCTTATCTCCTCCTTGGATGCCGACATGGCTAGGAATCCAGCAGATGATATTTTTGCTTTTTTCCATTGAATGTAGTTTATATAGAAGACTTTGTATTAATGGATTTTCCAGTCTTTTTCCTTTTAGGGATGTTAATACAGATAATGAATCTGAGAAAATAATATAGTTTTCTCTTTTGTTTTTTGATATGAAATTTAGTGCTAGTTTTATTGCGTAGGCTTCTGCACTGAAAATTGATGCTTCATTTGGCAAGCGTTTTTTTGATAATTGTTTTTTTTTTTTATTGCTTGCGCTGCCTGTTTTTTTTTCGTCTTTTGAGCCGTCCGTGTAAATACTTTTTGTAGTTTTGATATTTTTCTTTTATTTTTTGAGAATTTTTCAATGTATGTTGTGGGGTGTGTTTTTGATTTTGATAATTTGTTTAAACTTAATATTATGTTTGGATTTTTGATTATCCATGGTGGTATGTTTGATTGGTTGGTTTTAAGTATTTGATTAGACTGTATATTATTTTCTTGGATGATTCCTTCCATTTGGAGTCCCAATGTTTTGATTTTATTTTTTGTTAAGATTAAATTTCTCTTTGTGATTTGGTGTAAGTACACAATCGTGTGTGGGGTTAGAAGGACAGGAAGAGAGTTTTAGATAGTATTGAGTTGCTAGTTTCTCCATTTTTAGTTGTAATGGGGGTTCATTTGCCTCTACATGTAGACTCTCTATAGGTGAGGTGGGATAGGCTCCTAGAGCTATCCGAAGGCCTTCATGGTGTATTGTGTTTATTGTTTTTAAGATAAGACTTTCTAGTTGATTGGTAGACCATGCTGCCATAGTCCAGTTTGGAGCGGATCAACGTTCTATAAAGTTTAAGAAGGGTTTCTTTGCTAGCTCCCCATTCTGTATGGGCTACTGTTCGCAGTAGTTGGAGAGCATTTGAACATTTTGTTTTTAGGTAATTGATATGGGGTCTGAAGGTCAGTTTACTGTCAAAGATCATTCCTAGAAATTTATATTGCTGAACTACTGGTATTTCTTCATTTCCTAGTTTTAGAGTTGGGTTATTGTGTAATTTTTTCAGTTGGCAGAAATGTACAGATTTTTTTTTTTTTTTTTTGATATTTTAAAACTGTTTTCGAGTGTCCATTTGTTTATTTGATGTAAGCATTGTTGAAGTTGTCTTTCTTTCTGTGTGTTGAGGTTTCTCGATCTGTAATATATTGTAAAATCATCAACATAAAGGCTACAGTGTATTCCTGATTTGATGTTTTTTATTATGTCATTTATTTTTATTTTGAAAAGTGTAGGGGAGAGTACACTTCCTGTGGTACTCCCTCTTCTTGCTTTTTGATAATCAGAACGTGTAGCATCTATTTGTACTTGGAAGAGTCTATCTGTTAAAAATCCTTTTACAAAGTTTGGTAGTCGACCTCTTAATCCTAGTTTATGCAGATCTTTCATTATACCATGTTTCCAGGTTTGATCAAATGCTTTTTTTCTATATCAAAGAATATGGCTATTAGATGTTGTTTGTTTAAATTGGCCTCTCTTATGGCTGTTTCTAGTCTTATTATGTGATCTATTGTACTTCTTCCTTTATTATATCCACATTGATATTTTGATATGTGTTTTCCTTCTTCTAGAAACCAACTCAATCTAGCATTGACCATTCGCTCCATTGTCTTACATAGACAGCTTGTTAATGCTATTGGTCGGTAACTTTGTGGATTGTTTCCCTCTTTTCCTTCTTTGAGTATGGGAATAATTACCGATTCTCTCCATATTTTGGGAAATTTCCCAGTAGTCCAAATATTGTTAAAAATATTCAAAAGGTATTTCAGCGATTCTTGTGGTAGTTGTTTAATAAATTCATAGTGGATTTGGTCTGGGCCTACTGCTGTATTATGGGATTTTTTTATGGCTTCTATTAGTTCTGCTTCGGTGAATAGATTGTTGTAGGCTTCTGTATTTTTAGACGAAAAATTTAGTTGGTTATTTATATCTTTTTGTTTACACTTTTGTAGGTTTTGATTTTTGCTCATTTTAGAGTTTTCTGCAAATGTCTCTGCTCGTAGGTTTTCTATCTCTTTTTTGCTAGTTGCTTTAGTGTTGTCCTTTTTAAGATGTATTATTGGGTGTATTTGATTTTTTCCAACTGTTTTTCTCATCATTTCACATATTGTCTTGGTTTTGGAATGTGTATTTAGGCTGTTTACATATTTTTTCCAACATTCCCTTTTGGCTTCTTTAACAGTTTTTCGTGCTACTGCTTTGAGTTTTTTCATTTCAATCAAATTTTGGGTTGTGGGTTCCTTTTTGAATTTTCGCAATGCTGCTTCCCGGTTTCTGACTGCTTTTTGGCAGTTTTTGTCAAACCAGGGTTTAGTTTTTTTATAATTATTTTGCTTTTTTGGTATATTTTCTGAGGCAATGGTTATTAATGTTTTGGTAAAGTATTCTATCGAGTTGTCTGTGTCCTTTGACTGTATCAGTAATTGTTTACATTTGTTTTTGAAACCCTCCCAGTTGGCTCTTTTTCAGTTTCCATCTGACGGGGCCTATCTTTTCTTCCTTGGCAGGCTTTTGATTTTCTAGAATGATTGGGTAATGATCACTGCCACATGTGTCGCTATGTGTTTTCCATGTATAATCCATACAAATTTCTGGATCGCATATACTTAAGTCTATTGACGATTCTGTTCCATTGGAGGGATTAAGGTAGGTTGAGGATTTATGATTTAATAGACATAAGTTATGGGTGTTAATTATTTCTTCTAATATTTTACCTTTAGTATCTAGCTTTTTGCTATTCCATATAGGATTATGACTGTTAAAGTCTCCTAGTAAGATTCTAGGTTTAGGAAGTTGCTCCATCAAGTTGTTTATTTCTGTTGTATTTATTGGTTCCTGTGGGGGTATATAAATGGAAAGAATTGTGATGGTTTTATCTAGTGTCACTTGTTGTTGCTATTGCTTTACTTTAATTTAGTTTTAATGTGTACTTTACTTTGTCCTTGAAGTATGTCATTTCTAATCAATATTGACACTCCTCCATTAGCTCTATGTCCTGTATTGTGGTTATAGTGATATTGTTTATAATTTTTAATTTTAAGTTGGCATTTTCTTGTAAAAAGTTTCCTGTAAGCAGATGACGGCTGGATACAGTAGTGACATAAGTATGAGTAGGTCATTGTAATTAGATTTTATTCCACGACAGTTCCATTGCAGGATCTTATTAGTGCCATGGTTATATTTTCATTTTTTGGGGTAAAGTTACCTACTAGGTTTATATCATTTGTCCTCTCCAGTTTTTTTCCATCTCTTGAGTTTTTAGAAGCTTTGTCTTCAACTGCTTGTGGTGTCCTTCAGTCAGATTTTTGGTTTTGTCTTGAATTTTGTTTATTTTCTTTCTCTATTTCCATAAATTGCATAGGCTCAAATTTATTTTCATTTGATATATTGATTCTTGTTTTTGAGTTAGATCTTGATTGAGTGCTTTCTTGCTCTGTTGTCACTTTTTTTGTCTTTTTTTTGTTTATTTTTCATTTTCTTAGTTTGGGTTTGGGAAGAAGAGGGTTCTCTGGAGTTTTGTTCTGTGTTTTCTTTCCAAAGTTTTTTGCCTTCTTCTGGGTTTATTCCATTTGATCTGGGTTGTTGAGTTTTATTTTGATCCGATTTAAGTTCGATTAAAAGGTTTTTAATTCTTCAAGGAAAGCTTTTAATTCCTTGCATAAATTTGTTATTTCAATTGAACCTTTTATTTTATCTTCATTGTTTATTTTATTTGCTTTTTTGTGCCATGGAAGCATAGGTGTTTTCTTTTATGTTATTTTTAACTTCCTTTCGTGCTTCTATGAAAGATATATTTTTTTTTATATTTTATTCTAATTATTTCTTTTCTCCTGTTTATATATACTGCATTGTTTTGAGAGGGCAGAGTGGTTTCCCAAACAGTTTGAGCATAGGCTCTCATTAGCATGTTCTGGTTCTTTCTCACTACATTTTCCACATATTTTTTTTATTTCGACAGGAATCTCTGTGATGCCTAAATTTGTGGCATCTATAGCATTGAAGAGGGTTTGGTACATATTGTTCTACTTTTATACTTTCATATCCAATTTTAATTGTTGTTTGGAATTTGGGGGAGTTGAAAGTTATAATGTAGGTATTAGTTTGTATCTCTGCCTCATTTTTCTTTATTGTTATTCTTTTGACATTTGTAACTCCTTGAGTTTGGAGTTCTATTTTTATCTCCTCTAGAGTGCACAGGGAGAGCTCCTTGCTTTTTACTACTCCCTTTGAGAAATTTAGGGTTTGGTGTGGGTAGGATTTTATTTCTATTTCTTGTAGTTTTTTTTGTCTTATTAATGTGTCCACATATATCTTTTTTTCCACTTCCACTAGTAATGTTCCATTTTGTAATTTTTTTACATTTTTTGGTATAATGATATTTGATATTGCTTTTTGTATTTTAAATGGAGATATTTCTGTTAATGCTTTTTTGCTTATTGCTTCGAGTACAATAAATCGTGGAAAGTTTTCACTATCATTTTCTGTTTCCGAGTCATTATCCACATGTGGTCTCTTGGAAGATTTCTTTTTTTCCATTGATTGTTTTTATTTTTGTTCATCATTCTCGCTCCCTACCCACCGCGGAGTCCAGTATTGGGACATGACAAGGGGGAAACCCATTCGCCTTGCCATGTCGGGGCTACGTGAATGATATACTCTCTTTGGGAGGAGTCTTTGAGCACGCGTGTTCCTTTGTTTCCGTTTTCCAAGTATTACGGCTGTGAAGGTTTAGCAAGTGTGTCAGATCCTTTTTTTTCTCCCAAATTGATTGACCCTCAGCCACCACCTTCCATCACATATTTAGGGTTAAGTGTTAGTTTTGGTTGGGAAGAGGAGGTCAGTTATAGGATCAGTTATAGGTTTGGGATGGATTATATATGATGGGGCTTGACATGACCAGCCGATTGATCGGATCGGGCCCTCCGACCGCCCAGTCTGCCCAGGTAAGGGCCAAAGTGGTGTGTTTTACCTCTGCAGGATTGTGACCCCCACTTTTACACCTGAGTTAACAACCTGCTCAACCACCAGGATCCCTAATCCCCAGACATTTTTAAACGGTGAAAAAAAAAAAAAAAAAGCCATTAAGTGGCCCCATTGAGGGAAAGAACAGATTAAAAATAATTAATGAGTTTGTATAAAGCCCTAGGAAGATCAAGCCTAAAATAAATAAGTAGAATTCATTAACATTTAGTAAGATTCTGGGACAATATGACAAATATTTATGGCATTTTAAGATTTCCCAAATTTCAAGGATACATTTTTGCTATATTTATACAAAGTACTATTAGTCCTCAACTGTTCATATACTCAAGTTCAGCCCTTCAGTTCCAAATGGGGGCATAGGTTACTGGACAGAGGATGATCATGAATAGCTTATTGAAAAACCTGCAATAAATAAATGTCTGATGTGCACACATTTCCTTATATAAACAAGACACATAAGACCAGACAGAAGACAGGAAAATCTCCGACATAATGGTAAGATGTTAGTGACAATAGTGTCTTCATCTATCTAAAGTCTTACCATTATGTAGAAGGTATTTCTGCTGCACCCTGTATATGCATATTATTTGGAATGCACCATTTGAGTTGGACAATCTTGGAAAGGTGGAGAATAACATTCTGACATATGGTGAAAAGGATGCATTGGGCAAAAGAGGTTGAGAATCACTGCAGTAAAAGGTTGCTTGAATGGTGTCCAATGGGTAGACCAGATAGAAGATGGGGGCGATAAAATGGTTTTGTTAATACATGATTAAGAATAGTACAGTTATGGTAATAATTGTGTGTGTGTATGTATATATATATAGTGAGCACATTTGAGCAGTCTTTTAGATAAATGGCTGATAACATTAAGCAAATCCACAATTTATTCCTATTCCTTTTAAAACCTTTCATTGGTATAAATAACTTCACATTATAAAAATGAATAGGAAATTTATTGACTTGAAATTATCATCTTTAATTTAAAATAAAGCATTTGGTGCCAACTGTTTTAATAACAATATCCATTTTATATTTGCACTTATAACAAATGGCCTCCTTTATACACAGTGTCAAAAATAAATTACACCATCATGAATGTGCGATCCAGTTTACTCAAAATTAAACATGCAGGAAATAGATTACAGTAAAATAATTCTACTGCAAACAGAACTTCCTAACTTTCAACCAAAAGACATTAGATGCTGAAACAATTTATTAATCTTCTCTATTTCTATTTGGTCACTAAAGATAAATGTCATGTCAAAAGTAGCAGAAATTGTGCCAAGTAAATTCCTGAATTAAATAATCAATATGATGAAAAGAGGATACATCTTTTCATTTCTCACCATGGAAGTATTTTCACCTTTTATTCTTGTGAACATACAATAGGCCTTTCCTGGTTTTTACCTACACTGACTGGAATGGAAACACATTTGATTGGTCTGTGAAAGACTAAGATACAGTACAAGCAATGAGCACAAAGATATGGCAGCAGTAAAAGTTTGGATAGTCATGTGTCTTGAGTCAATACTGAAAGTAAAAAAATTACCAAATCATCTAGTGACAATCCTGAGGTGACATTTAATTTGTTATATACTGTAGACACTCTGCTCAATTTACAATGAATCAATCTTTATAAGCATTTGTACCAAGTGCCCATCCATAACCTGTAGGTGTACAGATGTAGGAATGTTCATTTCACCATTGTTAGGAACCCCAAATCACTAACAATATTTCACATCCAACCTGTGCAGAAATTCTTTAAAATGATCATCCAACCCTTCTTAAATGGCTCTAATTGAACAAAAAGAGAACATGTATATATCTCTGGCATGACACCTGCTTACACTGGACTCTTTAGGCAAACTGAAACTTCCTAAGCACAAGCTTATTTTTCTGATTTATGCTTTGGATGCCATGCTACCTTTGCAATGCATCAATTGTAGCAAGCATCTCTAAAACAGCTGTCCAGAATCTGGGCAACACATGAGAATGTTCATTGTTGTGAACATTGAAGCATTGCCAATGCATAACATCAAATGTGCATTGAATTTTCCAAAAATAACCATCCAGCCTCTCAATGACTTATAACCTCAAATAGCTCTAATTAAACGAGCATATATATGTATCTGTTACAACACCTGCCTACACTGAGACTTATCATGCCTCACCATACACAGTACAATACATAAACAGTACACTTTTGTGAGTGTTATTACATCACAAGTTGGTTGAAGACTCTAAAAATTCTGTCAGAATATCTATTACCACCTAGAATGCATATACTATACTCAGATCAAATTTAGCATTCTTCTTCAAAGTTATTTTTGTCAAAGCATATACACACATATATAGATATAAATGTGTGTGTGTGTGTGTGACAATAAAAAATTAAATGAACCAGCCTAAAACTTGCCTTATAAATTCTTTAACATTTTTTGAACCCCAGAATTTTCATTTATAACAATGAAGAAATATTTCTTTAAGTAGTACATAAAGACTTTGGGAAAAATAACCAAAAAGCAAATAATTGTAAGATAAAACTTGGACCTCATCTTCCAAAATGCAAAATCATTCAGTGAAATTCTCTCCACAGATTCAGATATTTTATATCTAATTCTTTCAATGTATTTAAAAAAAGGAAAAGTGGATTGTAGAGCCTTACTCTTGTGTGATCCTGGTATGTAAGACAAACATCCATTCTCTTCTGTTACATCTTCCAAAGGGATCCATATTCCCAAAAGTTTCATTGGTTCTGTGTACAAAAATGTGCTGTCTTGGTGGGCATTAACTGGAAAGAAAGAAGCAAACAAAATGCCAATTTTATGTTGCTTCAGAGTGGCTACATATTTCACCAAGGTGTTACTTCCCAGCACTTCTATTTATGATCTAAGTATAGTACTTGTGTGCTTTGTGAAAAAGGTTATAAACACATATGCATATATATATATATATATATATATATATATATATATATATATATATATATATATATATATTAAATAAGTAACAAATAGGAAATCTTTACAAATTCAATGTTTTGCTATTTAGCATTATCAGAAATTTTTTTGTAGTGGAATGATTTGGAGTTATATTTCAGTTTTTTAAATTCTATTTTCATCATTAGTCACATGTATATTGCATGGCATCTGTTTGCATGTTTAATTCTTTAATGTTTGCTAAGTTTAAATGCATATTAAAAATTGAATATATGATGAAAGTTGGAAGTGAAATATGCAATACTAGGTTAATTACTTGCAAATGAATAGATCTTGTATTCTTTAAGTATCAGTCTTACAAATTATTGGTGACATGAAGGTATTCTATGTTGATTATTTATTATAATTTCTTCTTGATATTTTATCCATAATAGGTTGTGTTATTTTGTGTTTTTTTTTACTAATATAGTACTCATAAAAAAATTATGGTTTGGTTAACTAAGCTAACATTTCAAGAAACATATTCCTTATGAGTATGAAATAAATACACAAAGCCTTTATCAGAATTTTAACTTAGTTCAACATACTCACCATATTTAGATAAAATTAAAAAATTAAACTTACCAGCTCCTCCAAAATGTGGTTGCTGAAATTAAACAAGTTTCTAATTATTTTTAGACTTTGGAAAAATATTATTTCAGAAATTAACTATTATTTATGAGGTAGATAATAAAACAAACAGTTTACACTTAAAAAGACTAGTGAAACACAATCTCTCTACTTTGCATTTCCTCTTCATAACTTTGTTGAGTAAATATCAGAAATGTGATCTGCTCACCTTGAATATGTACATACTCTGAGCAATAACAGGATTTACCATTCCAAGAGATTTACAAAGATTCTGAAACAAAGAAAAAATATTTACATTCATTTTGCATTTAAGAATCAAGTTGAAGTGTTGTAAAGTCTCTTAAGTGATGTATGGTGTGGTGTGCAAATGGTGTAATAACAGCTCGGAATGAGAAATCAAAGTTCAAATTCCAGTTCGGTTCCTTATGATTACTTATGCACAAATATCCTTGGGAAAGGTATAAATTCATCTATACTCCTAGCTATGAGTTGAATAGCAGGACTGGGTCCTATAGCCTTGGTTGGCAACCAGTCTATCACAGAAAGAAATGGCAACCTACTGCAAGAAAATCTTCTGCCTAGTCAGTCATGAATCAAAAGAGACACGATTGCCCAAGCATATATCACGTATGGCATTTAACTGACCAACTTATATCTGCCAATCACTAAGACACAAGCATCTACAAAATACACAAATGTTTGATATGCACATTGGTTTTCTATCTGAATTTCTGGGATGAGAAGTTATCATTTGGACTAATGTCCTCACCTTTATTGCTATTATTGCAAGGTTTTGGCTGCTTTGCTTCCTGAACTTTTTCAGGTATCTGTCAAGCCAAGTAACATGAAATGCAATAGACTAGTGGATGTTGGTCCATGAATTTTGTGGCATAGTAATTGTGAGTTCAATCCCTGAGCTGGTTAATACAGATTTAGACTAAGTAGAAACAAGACAAGTAATACTTGAGCATTGCTAAAAAGAACAAGATGAGATATCTCTAGACATGGACAGCGGAATTAAAACAGTCTACCCACCATTCACTTCAAATTAAATAAAGAGTTCAGTTTAAAATTCTCTGAAGATTATCCAGATCAACAGACACCTGAAAAAGGTCAGAGGGCCCAATGTCCAAAACATCGTGATGATAACAACAAAGATGAGGATATTAGTCCAAATGTAAAAAATAATGTTTTAGAAAAATATCTTAGTACATAGTAAGATAGTTCTTGAAAGTTATTCTGAAGTGACTTTTCAGGGTACACTTTCCTAATTTCTACCAAAAGATAAAGACAAGATATCTTCATTCCTAAAGTCTGAAAATTTGTCTTTACCAATCTTGAAATAATTCAATTAAGGAATTTACAAATACATTTCTTTTTAGATACACATTTTTTTTAAAAACAACTCAGGTTTTTTATGAATACTCAAGCTGCTTAAATTTTTTATGCTTGGGTTTAATAAATAGAAACAAAAGATATTTCAATGTAACTAAACTAGTAGAATTGGTAAAATTTTTAAATACAGCATAAAATTTATTTAGTAACTATTTTTGTTTACTTTTATGATTTTTCCTCTCTTTTTTCTTTGTTTTTGTTTTTTTAGTTGCTTAAGCTATGCTAACATCAATAGTGGTACTGCTTAAGATTTATTCAAATTTTAATGCACTTATGTGCCTAATAAACATGGTGAGGATGTTTGTTTTCTTGAAGAAATTTACTAACCTCTCCCCCAAGTTTATTAATTTTATACTCTCTGACCTTTAAATGATTGTCTAACTTCCACTGACTTTAAAACTCCCAACCATCTATCTCATAGTGAGGAAAATCCACACTCACTCCAAATTTTTAAAGTCTTACACCTTGTATTAAGCACCTAAGAACACAGTTGCTTATAAAAAAAAAAATTAATGTAATCATTTGTTTGACTTCATGAGGTTTTGGTGCCATTAATAATTTTCCAGTGAACTGAATACAGTGTAATAACTGAACAATTGTTTTTGGCTCATTATTATGTCAAAAAAAATTCTTACAATCTAAAAATAACCTTTAACCTGGCTTTAAATAACTTGCAAATGTTGATAAGCTATAGAAAATCAATCAATCAATCAATGCATCATATGGGCCAGCAAATATAAGTATTGGATTGAAGACTATTCCTGATTTGGTGCAAACAAAATAGATTGAAGTTGGTAGGTATTGTGTCATTTGTTATTGTAAATCTGACTGTTCTGCTATTGTATTCAAGTGTAGCACATGAAGACTGACAAAAGATTCATTTTGTGTTTAAGAGTATCCCATAATAAAAAGTATTTTTTATGCAAGCAACACCAAATCAATGTATTAAGATTTTTTTAAATTTTCAATTTGGTGCCAAGATTCTTGTAAATATTATTATATTTTTAAAATCTTTCATGACTTCCAGCATGCTCTGTATTTGTCCCTCTATTTGTCTCCTTATCTTTCTACAATACAATGATCTCATTTTTAGTAGAATTTGTATTTTCTCTCTTGCATCCAACCCCAACTTCACATACTAATATTTTTTTTATATAGGTTTCATAATTAAAAGTTAACTATTTTATAAATATTATTTTACAAGCAAAAAATTACATATGTTTATACTTCTTTTTATCAGCACCCCACAATTTCCATCACTTTTCATACATACACATTGTGTGTGTGTGGTTATTTTGAACAGCAGTTTTTTTTATTTAGGTAAGCTTGTTTTTTTTATATATATTTTGGGCCATTTTCATGTGTTTTTTCCACTACATATTTATATATAAATCATCCAAAATGCACATATTCTATTTTATGTAAATTAAATTTTTACATTCTATTAAATTCATTTTTTAAAATTTGAAAATAAGTAACATGGAGAAATATAATTTGATCTTAAAATCCTGTTATAACTTTTAGGACAACTTATATCAATTTCAACTGATTTTTATTAAATCGATCATGATATTGAATGGCAATATGTCAAGTTGAAAAGTCTATTCTTAATGAAATTGGCAGCTGAAATTGGAATTGAGTGGGATAAAAGATTTTTTTAAAAATTATACCTACTTTAATTTTGTTGCTGAACGTAACTGCTTTAAACTTGGGATTCAAGGCATGTAGAGCTGTAGAAAGAGACCAATAATCAAATTTGGATTGATGCGGATTGACAAATCTTTTAAGAACAGAAAAATATAAAAAGAAACATTTTAAATTATTATTGCCTTTGAATTTTCTTTCATTTTGAATAACAATAATAAAGAGTAAAAGAACAACTTTAATACAAGAATATTTTTGGTTTTGTTCTTGTTTTAAATGTTTTAATTATTCTAATTTGAAGAGAAAAAAAAATTATCTTCCAAATCAAATTTATTTTAAAATTTCATTCCAACAAAATGAAGGTCAGAATTATTCAAAGCACATAAAAATATGAGAAAATATTTTTTCCTACAAAAATATAAACTTTAGTTTCTCCAACAGATTCTTAACTTGCACCTCCTATCAGTGGAATTCCCTTCCTATCACTTGCTTCCCTGACAGCTATAATATTCAAATGTAATGTCAATCAACATCTGATGCCTTGACCATGATACCTGTTTTTCTTTTTACCCGTTTCCCAAAAAATTTTTGTAACCCCTTGCATGCTAGTGGCACTCCTGCCTTTCTTGGGGTGATTTTCTTTTCTTTTTTTTTTTTTTTGAATTTTAATCAAGTGGATACCTAATCATAGAAAAAGCTCTTTAATTACCTAATTATTATTTTAAAATGTCTTAATTTAATTAAAACTAATTACATTTATAATTACAATATTGAGTCAACACTATTTTGTAAAATAAACCTTTCCAAAATTTGTTGTTTTTGATGCTAAAAAATTCTGACTTATCCACTTCCCAAAATCTGACAAAGTATCAGAATGTTTTGGCAGCCCCTTGTATTACAATGTTTATAAGTCTACATTAAACTAAAGAAGTGCTTTTATGCTTTTTTTTCCTTAAAGATTTGAATAAATCAGTCTAAGTCTTCAATGTTGAAGGGTAAAAAGACTAATATATATTTTAAGCAATCTAAAAAAAACTGTCTATATTTCTGAGATGAGGTATTATGTACACTATTTACATTGTTTGGACTATTGTCCTCATCTGTGTTGCCATATTTATCACAACATTTCGGCCGTTGTACATTCTGGCTTCTTTGAGTGGTTGGAATGTCCAACCACTTGAAGAAGGCCAGAGCATACAATGGCCAAAACATTGTGTGCATTTTTTTTTATAATTGAACACTCATCATTTTTTTTCCAAAATCAAAAACACTTTTTTTTTTTTTTTTTAAATTAAACACCCATTTTTTTTTTATTTTTTTTTTTCAACTACATATTTTACATATTTATTCCCTTTTATTTTTTTTTCACAACCTTGTCTTACAACTGGCCCGGGTCTTCACAACAGACCTCATTAGACATTTTACAGGTTACAATTCTCTCACAGCAACTGTGGGCTGTTCTTCCACATCGGTTACAGGTTGTAATGCATCTTGGTCGAGCCGATCTTGGTAAGGCGCACCAATTGGGTACTCAGCACGCTTCCACTTTCTGCCAGTTCAAATTCCACACTCGACATTCTCACTTGTCTCTTTTTCCACCACCACCAACTCAAAGAAGCCATACCTATAATTAATATAATCCCCACAACAGTTGGCCAGGTTACTATGGTAACCATTTTCTCTCTCCAGTCCGAGTCTTGCCTACTTAGCCTAGTTAATTCTAACTTCAGTTGCCCAAAATCAATCTTATCAACAGGTTTCAGTAACCCCGCATTTTCTTTAATCTAAAAACTGAGGGAACTCTTTCGTAATTGGATCCCATAATTCAGCCCATCCAGTTTCATTTGATCCTACCAATTTTGACAACACCTCATTCCCTTTGAACCTCTCTTCTGCTTGATAGTAGGGAGGCAGGGATAGGGTCAGCTTGTGTGCACCACAGCTAAGGGGTAAAGCTAAAATGGTCAAGGGGGGAATAACTCTCATTGTGATCACCTCATTCTGCCCAGATTCCGTCTGCAATGCTAACAGCTGCGGGTAACATTACACCAGTCAGTATCTCTACCTGGCAATGGTCTCTAATTCCTTTCTTATTTTTTCTAAATAAGTCTATCACACACAATTCATGGCTACCTGTTACATAAATGGGACTTGCAGACACGCAAGTTCCCAGAGCATTATTCTCGCACCTCTGTGCTTCTTCCCTTGATCAGCAACATAAACTTTGTCCTGGCTATGTTTAGAGCGAGGAATTCTGTCTCTACTTTATACCTAGCCACTGCCTCTAACCTTGGGGTTGGTTTTAAGGTAAGGAAGGGGCAGATTTAATACCTGGTAAACTTTGAAAGTGCCGTCTCGGTTTAATAGGGGAACTGACACTAGTACTAGCAATTTACTTCTTTCTAACAGGGTAACACATCCCAAGGTACTATAATACTTCCATAATTGTTGAGTGGGGTCCGCCAGCAAACCAAAATGATGGGGGAGTTTGGACTGTATCTCCAACAGTACCGCCCTTAGTCGTTCTGGGGTTATTATATTCAGGGATAGGTGTCCCATAGACAGCATATCCAACTGTGCGCTCACATGTTCTAGCAGCACTGTTAACGTATGACTGGTTTAGTGCACCCTATTCACTATAGCTTTAGCAAGAAACCCTCCAGCTCCTGGTACTCAGTTGTTATAGTTGTGGTTACATTTGCCAGCTCTTGCCTAAGATCATGTAGGTAGGCAATTAACCAATTAATACTCTCTCTGTTCTTAGCCACTTCCAACCTAGTAACATTAAGTATCGATACGCTTTCCTTAACTACCTGGGCCATCAATTGCTACCTCTGCTCTACCTGCGTCAGCTTCCTCTTGATCAACCTTATCTTCAGACACCGTGCCAAATAACACACCTAATGCCTTACTTATTATAGGTAACACTACCCTCTTTTGTCTAGTTCTAAACAACTTAATTCCCTTTAAATAATTGCTCATCTCCTTCCATTGTCTCTCAACTATTAGGGACTCCTGAGTTAAGGAGTACAACACCCAGTCGTAGTTTAGACCTTGTGAATACTCTCCGGCGACTTGTGTCCTGACTGTCTCTAACTTATCTACCTCGACCCTTAACTGGGCTAGTAGCAATTCATATGGCTGTAAATCTATCACTAATGTGATTAACCACTTTGATCTAGTTATGATCACCTCGCTCGTCTTCTTAAACACGGTATTTTCACTGTGCTCCCAGGCATTAGCAGCCAAAATCAGCATCACCAGCACCCAGGGCCTTCCCTCGTCCATGTCTGAAAGAGATGGAGAGAACAGTCTATCTTACATAATTATCTATTTATATTTTCCGTCAGACGGCTGCATTGTGGAGTGACACATCCTAGGACCAACCCACACCACCACCGAGTCCGCGCACGGGCCCTTCCATGCGGCCTGCGTAACACCGATGACAACTGCACAATCGACCCCAGGCTGCCCCTCGTCCAACACAACCTCTGCACAGATTTTCTATCTAATCAGTCTGCTGTAAAGGCGTTGCTCCCCGCAATCGCAAGTCCTCCTCATCAGGCACTTGTTCAGTCTGCCATTGATTATGTAATTGAGCTAACGGAATCTCGTCATCAGGATCTCAATTGCTCGATCCGTCTTCTTCTCTGCTATCACTAGGTTTAATATTCTCTTCCTCAGGGTGTCCAACTTGGGGTTGAGTTATCTCCCTCAGCCTTTGAAGGGTAGTGGGACGAATTTTGACCTCCTTGCTAGCTTCACTATCACTTACTAGTAATTCTGGTTCCACTAGTGTGGTTCTCCTCAGTTTTTTCTGTTTTGTCTCTATGCTGCCCCCTTCCCATTCTTCTATCTCAGCTAACTTTGTCATTTGCTTGGACTCTTTTCACTTTCCCTGTCAGTTGATCCCATATCACAAAGGACACTGGGCCTGTCTGTTCTACTATTCTGTAATAGGGGCTCCACTTCTGGTCCAGTTTACCGTCCCTCAGGTGTATTTTATAATACACTGGGTCACCTATCTGGAAGGAAACCTCTTCTCTATTCTTATTTATCCTATCATTTCGCTTTTTCTGGGCTCTTCGAATCCTTCTTCTCACCTGTGTAAAGATTTTGTGCTGCTGCTCTAAAATTATCCTATGATGGTCCTCCCCTAAGTATTTCCTCCTTGGCCTTAATAGGTTGTCTATGGGTAAGACCACATCCCAGCCATATACCAAATAGTAAGGGGAAAACTTGGTCGTTTCGTTCACCAAGAATCTCACAACTGCTAAGGCTTGGGTTAAAAACAGATCCCAATTCTCCCTATTATGCTCTGCTAATTTAGCCAGCACATCAGCAAGAGTCTTATGGAATCTCTCCACCTTAGCGTTACTCTGGGGATGGTATGGGGAGGTGGTTATGTGTTGGATATTCAGTTCTCCCAACGTCTCCCTCATAACCTGATTTACATTTTCCGAACCATTATCCGTAACCAACTGTTCGGGAGCCCCATACCTGGGAAATATCTCGCTAAGTATTATATCTGACACCGTTCACACCTTCTTATCAGGTATGGTGAATGCTTCAGGCCAACCTGTCAGCCAATCCACAAAACTTAATATGGAACAATTCTCTCTATCAGTTGGCCCATAAGGGCCTGAAATGTCTAAACTCATTTCCTCTACTCTGCACTTGGCACGTTACACATTTCTTTACATAATCTACAACATCATTAAACAACTTGGGCCAATAGTAATTCCTCATTACCAACCCATACGTCTTGTCAATCGCCATATGTCCCAACTTTCTACGGCACTGATCTAAGATCTGACCTCAACTTTTCGGGTATCACCATCTTCAAGCTTACCTCCTCATCTTTCCCTGAAAGGTAATACAACACATCACCCTGCAATACATATTTGCAGGTATTTCCTGCCTTTTCCCTAGACCTAATGGCTGTTATGTCACTATCCCCTTGACTTTGTCTAACCATATCTATCCAGTGGAGGTCCGTAATGGTCTGTTTCTCCCGCCTCCTGATCTTCCAATTAGGTCTCCCTTCTAACCAGTGTGAGTTAATTACATTAATCTGGAAGCCCTT